AGCTTACAACACTTCTCATCCGAAAACTTGTAGTTGTTAGAAGAAAACAGCCATCAACAAACCCAAAATTCTTCAACACTGAGAGAATGTTAAAAAAAAAAAAAAAAAAAAGAAGAATTCAGCTTGAAAATGTCAAGGAACTGGAAAAAAAACTCAATTATAACACCAATCAAAAAGCTGCCACAATCTAAAATAGCTACTACATTTTTGAACTATGTTTTAACGCTGAAATCTATAATTCATGAAGAGAAGATGAACTGCAATTTAACTCATAAGTTCTGAATGTTTTCATTAATAAATAGAAACAGTGCAGCAAAACACCTGTAATTAACGCAGAAAGCAGAAGCCCTGCTTATGATATGGGGAGATGAAAGAACATAATGATCTACAAATGCAGAAAAAGGATATAACCCCGACTGCTCAAAAATTTTTCAAATTTGAAGGCAAAAAGTGGCACACCTTGCAGGATTGTTCCCCTTGCTCTCATGGGAGACTTCAACTTCCCAGACATATAATATTATAATATTATAATATTATAATACAGCAGAAAGAGAACAATTCTGGAGGTTCCTGGAGTGTGGGAGGTAACTTCCTGACACAGCTGGTGAAGGAGCCAACAAGGGGAAGCAAGACCCTGGACTTGCTGTTTGTTAACAGAGAAGGTCTTGTGGGGGGTGTAAAGCTTGGAGGCTGTCTGGAGCGTAGTGATCATGAGATGTCAGATCTCTCAGTCCTTGTGGAATCATGGAAGGGAGTCAGCAGAGCTGGGCAGACTTCAGCCTCTGTAGGACCATGGATGAATGGCTCCCTTGGGAGGTAAGTTTTGGAGGGCATGGGAGCCTAGGAAGGCTGGGAATACTTTAAGAAGTTGTTTTAAAGGTGCAGGAACTGACCATCCCCAAGTCATGGAAGATGAGCCGATGGGCAGGGAGGCCGAACTGGCTGAACAGAGACCTTTGGCTGGAACTCAGGAACAGAAGGCAAGTTTACGATTTTTGCAAGAGGGAGCAAGCTGCTTATGAGGTTCAAAATACACAGAGAAGCAGTGCAGGGAGAAAATTAAAAAGGCCAAAGTCCAGCTAGAACTGAACTTGCTCACTAAGGTGAATGACAATAAATATTTCTATAAATACATCAAAAGTAAGAGGAGGGCTAGGGAGAATCTCCATCCATTGCTAGAACACAGTGACCAAGGATCAGGATAAGGCTGAGGTGTTTAATGCCTTCTTTGCCTCAGTCTTTAATAGAAGACTAGTTACTCCCTGGGCACACAGCCCCTTGCACTGGTAGATAGGGATGGGGCACAGAGTAGGCCCTGCATAACCCATGAGGAGATGGCTTTGGACCTGCTCAAAGCTGTACACTCACAAGTCCATGGGGCCGGATGGATTGCACCCTAGAGTGCTGAGGGAGTTGGCAGACGTGGTTGCCAAGCCACTCTCCATCACCCTTCGGCAGTCCTGGCTAACCAGGGATGTCCTGGGGACTGGAGACTGGCAAATGTGACACCCGTCTTCAAAAAGGCCAGAAAGATGATCCTGGAAGCTACAGACCTGTCAGTCTCACCTCGGTGCCAGGGGAAGTCATGGAATGGATAATCTTGGGAGACGTTATATGGATCAATTAAAAGTCAACCAGGAGATCAGGCCCAGTCAGCATGGGTTCATGAATGGTAGATCCTGTTTGACAAACCTGATTTCACTCTATGACAAGGTGACCATCTTATTGGATGAAGATAAGGCTGTCAATGTGGTTTGTCTACCTGGACTTCTGTAAAGCCTTTGACACTGTCCCCCACAGCATCCTCATGGAGAAGCTGGCTGCCCACGGTTTGGGTGGCCATGTGCTCTGCTGGGTGAAACACTGCCTAGATGGCTGGGCCCAAAGAGCTGTGGTCAATGGAATTAAATCCAGTTGGTGGCCGGTAACAAGCGGTGTCCCCCAAGGCTTGGTACTGGGGCTGCTTCTATTTAACATCTTTATTAATGATCTTGATGAGGGGATTGAGTGCATCCTCAGTAAGTTTGCAGACGACACCAAGTTGGGAGGGAGTGTTGATCTGCCAGAGGGGAAAAAAGCACTACAGAGGGACCTGGATAGACTGGATCAATGGGCCAAGGCAAACTGGATGAGTGTCAACAGGGCCAAGTGTCAGGTCCTGCATTTTGGTCACAACACCCCCAGGCAACCCTACAGGCCTGGGGAGGAGTGGCTGGAAAGCTGCCTGATGGAAAGGGACCTTGGTGTGCTGATGGACAGTGGGCTGAATACGAGCCAGCAGTGTGCCCAGGTGGCCAAGAAGGCCAATGGCATCCTGGCTTGGATCAGGAATGGTGTGGTGAGCAGCACCAGGGAAGTCATCCTGCCCCTGGACTCTGCACTGGTGAGGCCTCAGCTCAAATACTGTGTTCAGTTTTGGGCACCTCAGTACAGAAAGGACACTGAGGTGCTGGAACAGGTCCAAAGAAGGGCAACAAGGCTGGTGAAGGGCTTGGAGAATATGGCCTATGAGGAGAGACTGAAGGAACTGGGGCTGTTTAGTTTAGGGATGAGGAGGCTGAGGGGAGACCTTATTGCTCTCTTCTAATATCTGAAAGATGCTTACAGCGAGAGTGGGGTTGGTCTCTTCTCTCTTGACAGGTGACAGGATGAGGGGAAATCATTTAGATTGGCTATCAGGTCAAACTTCTTTACAGAAAGCACTGGAACAGGCTCCCCAGGGAGGTGGTTGAGTCACCATCCCTGGATGCGTTTAAAAACCATTTGGATGTGGTGCTCAGGGACGTGATTTAATGATGGGTTGTTAGAGTGAGGGTAGTATGGTTAGGCTGAGGTTGGACTTGATGATCTTCAGGGTCTTTTACAACCTGAGCAATTCTATGATTCTATGATTCCCTGCACACTGTTCCTCAGGACAATCTGACCAGCATCATCATCTCTCCCCAAGTTTCATCATTAATTAGCGTTCCACTAATTGTAATTGGTAATGCCATCAGATTGAATACGTATTAACATAACGATGGGGAAAGGATTCATAATGAAAAAATATTCACCAAATTAATAGTAAAAATAAACAACAACCCCCCCCTCCCCAATCAGATGTACTTAAAGGTATGCTTTACTGAAAACCAGAAATAGTGGTTACTCAGTCAACCTTCTCATTGTTTTGTTTCACCGTCTCAGACATTTTTCATCACATAAATTTCCCCTCAGAGTAACCCTTACACTTGAGAGACCCAAGAATTTAGAGCTTCCAGCCTATGGAGAGAATTTTTTGTTGGCTACTAAGACAACACATATGTTTAAGAGCGCATGTCACTTCATGAATATCCTAGATAACATTCAGTTATTTAATGCTCTCTGGCCTTTTATCCATCAGTTCCAAGTGGCTCACATCCCTTCTACAAGGAACTAACAGATACCCAGGCTTGCTCTTCTCAGTCACTTCTATCACTGGGTTTCAAGTCTTAGCAATTATATCAAAGGTATCTCAGGATGAAATACTAATATGCCAAATCTTACAGTCACTTAATTCCTTTTATATGATGCCGCTCTTAAGGTAATGCATTCTATTTTATTATGTTGGCTCACCATCAAGGCTGAAGCTTCCCACAAATATTGCTACGTTTTGTTGCCACACTAGGGAAAGCAACAGAGGGGCAGTCTGACAAAATGGCACCTGACACAGAAGTCTGTCTGGAGCAAAAGTGTGTCACTGAATACCTTTATGGGGAAGCAATTGCATCCACTGACATTCATCTGTGCTCGCTGAGCATTTCTGGAGACCAAGCAGTGGATGCACAATGTAAGCACAATGAGGAGGCCGGTGGAGCGTTTCAGCAGTGGTGACAGTGGGTCATCTCCACCGGTGGGGATTTTTATGACCATGGCACGCGGGCTTTTGTTCATCACCGGTGAAAATGCACAGCCAATGGTGGTGAGCCTGAAGAATTGTATTCTGCAGCCGAGAATTTGGCCTATCAAACAGGGCGACTGTGCTCTCTGTACGTTGTAGTTGCCACGGAAATAAATAGGAGGCACTACTTTCAGAGTAAAAAATAAATTCTGATCAAGTAACGGTACCGGGAATGAGGAGCAACGCACCGGGCACAGTGCTGCAGTCAGAAGGCTGGGCTGTGCACAGCATTCATCGCAAACACGGTTTCAGAGCGCTGCCTCTCTTCCGAAACGCCCCATGACTTCTCCTCCAGCCTCTTTCGCACCCAGCCGCCTCTTGTTTTAAGAAAAGCTCCAGATTTCACTTCAGAACTTACATCCGACCACGGCAAAGCCCTCGCACTCCGTGCTTCGGCTGAGGTCTGCTATCCCGTCACACCGTCAGCCTAATCACAGAGCTGCAATACACTACGCCACGTCCCAATTCGCCGGTTTTTCACTAAAAGCGGACTTTCTTCCTACAAGTGGAAATCAGAACCGCGGTTCAACCACGCCGTGCCCTCAAAAGCCTCCGATATCGAGGTTTTCTACTTCACGGCGTTACATTTTTCACCGTTCCCACTCGCGCTGCCGGCGCGACGCGCTTAATAAAAGCTCTCTGCCACCATCTACACCCGCGCCGCCTTCTTTCGTCGCGAAGAGCCGCAACGGACGGCACGACCTCAGTACAACAAACGAGCGGCCCCGGCCCCTCACCGAGGCTCCGACACCCCCGGCCTCGCCCCGCGCCATGTTGCGGAGCGGGGTCCCGCCTTCCCGCCTTCCCGCCTTCCCGCCACGCTCCCCCGTTACTCACCGGCCGCTCCCGGGGAGAGCGGCGGCGGCACCGCCGCCAGGCACAGCAGAGCCCAAGGCCACGCAGCTACGGCCGCCACCATGGCCGGTCGCGAACCCTCAGCCAGCCAAGAGAGGGCCGGACGGGCCGACGGGCGGGCTGTGACGCCGCCGGTCCCCATTGGCTGCAGTTCCCCCGCCGGGCCCCGCCCCGCCGCCTGGACGGCCGCGGACATTCCGACGAGCGGCCGGGGTTCGCGCGGTCTGTCGCGAAGCGACCTGGCGGGCTGGAGCTACTGCGGAGCGTGGGCTCGGCCCTAGCGGGAGCCAAGCACCGGCCGCAGCTCTCTGTGGGCTGCAATTCTAGCAAACAGCCGGAAGCGCCCTGCTGGTTGCTGCTGCTTTTGCTCTTCCGTCCTTCAGGCTCTTCACGAGCATCCCTCCCTGCGCTCCAGCTCCCGGCCGCGGCGGATGGAAGATAACCCGTGGAGATTCAGCCCATGGAGACAAGTAAGGAAAGACTGCAGCTGTATGTTTTTTTTTTTTTTTTTTTTTTTTTTTTTTTCCTGTGACGATCAAGCTTCATATATATGTAGAAAACATGAGAAATTAAATCGAAGTTATCCAAAGCAGATTTGAGTTACTGCTCAGTTCGTAACTGTTAACTACTTTGTCTCAGAGAATCCCGACTGTTTCAAAGTTGAGTAGGCAGACTTTGGATGGTTGTTGGCTAAGCGCCATGGCCATTCTGAGTCAGACTCAGGCAATAGCAAAACAGGAGTCTTAAAAACATGGTTTGCAAGATGCTGTTTGTTCTGCTTTTACCCTGTCCCCAGCCTGTCATCCCAATGGACTTCTTCCTCCAAAGACAATCTGAAAAACCACCAAGCTTATCATGACTCCATGATTTTTACAGCCTCGAGAATCTGTAGCAGCTGAATACTCTTTAGCTCCAGTATCAAATTCATAAAAGGTCCCAAAAAAGAAAGCAGCGAGGCAATACCGAAAAACACTGCAGTGAAATGTAAGTTTTACATCCTGGCCATCACCTATAGAGTAATTAAATCGTATTACGTCTTTATGGAGCAAAGCCAAAAGAAGTAACACTACACTTAGTTACAATTTAATTTGAAGTCAAATTAAAGTTGTTGCTCTAAATGTGAATTCATGAAAAGCAGCCAGTATAGTCTGACCATAGAAAAAATTGTCCTTTTTTTTTTCTCTTTCATTCTTTTGCTGCCAATATATAACTGTGCTTGCATGCAAGTTGAACAGCTGGGCTCTTCCCCCTAAACCCAAGGTTAACTTCTGCTACTTCTTATATACGTCCTTATAATTCACCAGGGGTCCACTAGATAGCAGCAGATCCAAAAGCAGCATCAGCCAAAAAGCCGAATTTTTTACTCTGCTTCAGTTTCACTGAAATACAAGGAGGCCTGAATGAATTTGATACGCTTTGCCCTAGTTATGGTAAGTGGTTTAATTTGTCTCAGTTCAACATGTGGGTGAATGCTGTTTGCTGTGCAGACTATTTTCCCTGAATGCTTTTTAAGTGCAAAATTATTTTGCAAATATGCAAAATGATAATTAACTATTCCACAAGCAAAAAGGCAGAAGAAAGATGCTGGTACTTCTGGTAAGCTAATGGCTCTGGGTATTCATACCAAGACACTCTACCAGGTCCAGAAGAAATAAACGAAACCGCTGAAAGTAATTCCTTCACTTCTGAGGAAGCAAACTCATCTTGGAAATTATACAAACCTTTTACAATTTGATCTTCAGTAGTAACAGCTCAAGTTCTTAAAATAAGTTATTGTTTAACCTGCTTGGTTCTAGAGACCAAGTACTTTTTCCCTTAGACTTTGTATGTTTATCTGCATGCTACTGTTTTCCAGTTAAACCATCCAAGTAGACCTTATAAAAACAGAACCCACTTCAAATCAATTCCTACCCAGGGCTCAACAGTGAGAAGTGGAATCCTGGGGTTTGAACTAATCAAATGCTGTGGTGTAAAACAGATTGTTGTCAGAAGGTAACCTGTCAGTATACTAAGTCTAGTGATAAAACAGAAAACTTTCTGCAACAATATCTTTCTTTTTGCTGTTCCTCTTAACGGTGAAGAGAAAATGAATATTTTATTCTATATGCTATATCCTTGTTTCTTAGAACATAAAAAATCCTGGTCATTCAGCTACTTTGTTTTCTGGAGTAGCTTGGTTAGTTCACTGTATTTTGTTACATGTGGTATTTAATCCAGCTTCCTTAGCTTAAAAAAAAAAGATGAAAAATTAAGAAGATTGAACTTTAGATTTTATGTTGAAGCCTTCTTCAGCACTAAGTGAAGATTCTTGGGTAGTCCTTTTGTATTACTGGTCAAAACATACATTTTTACTGTAAGATATTTGACCTGACCAGGATCAGGGTAAAGCGATTCCTGGGGAGGAATTCAGCGACACACCTTTGGCTTCATATGGACTTCCATGCCAGATGCCTTTTTGTCAGACTGCCCCTCTGGTGCCCTCCCTGGTACAGCAGTAAAATGTGAGATATTTGCAGGAAGTTTCGCCTCTACTGCCAACATCTGCCTCTGACATGGTGGGCCAACATAACAGAATAGGATGCGTTACTTCAGAACAGCCCTCATACGTCAGCTACAATACATGCTTTATATGTGGCCCAAAATAATTCCTCTTCACTCAGTGCAGCCCAGGAAGCCAAAAGGTTGAACAGTCATGGCTCAAACCATTATGAGATTCCTGTTTTGCACCTTTTAAGCCAAGCTTACAAAGTGATCAAGAGAAAAAATTGTTTTGGTTATAATGTTCTCTCTGACATCTGTGACCAACACCACTGTTACTGTGGTGCAGTCTGGAAACAGCAATGCTCAAATCTTCCAGACTGCAGTCACTGTCCAACATACAGATACGGTCTTCACATCTGCATCTTCTGATATGCTACTTTGCTTCAAATGTGCTGTGTAATTGCACTATATGTATTAATAATGATCATATTCTGAGTAACTGAATGAAATTGCAGTGGGAGACTAACACATGGACTGCAATTACCAACAGGAAGTTACAACTTGCTACAAGATAAAGCTGTCAGTTGCTTTTTTGTGAAAGCAAGGAATCAGCCTCATGATAGACTAGCAAGTCAAAGCTTGCTATTTTTTCTGGCTTCCATAAGCAACACGACTTTTGCAGCATGGAATAATCAGAAATAATTTCTCTGCTACTTTACAATAAAAACATACTTCATCACATCAGTATTTTTCAGTTTGCTTTATGTCCATTATAGTAGAGATGGCTGATGTATGAAAAGAATCATTTTCCTTCTACCTACGAAGCATGTTTTCCTTGAGTGATTGCAATTTCACTCTTTTCTTTAATGAAGATCTGTGTTTTCTCCCTGTCTTGATGTTCTAGCTGCTCAGATTACAATGATCCATGTCTTAGGGTCACTTTTTCTTTTTCTTTTTTTTTCCCAAAAGCCACGTGAAAACAAAGTAATTCTGTTTTGATTTTCTATATGAAAGAAAAATAAGAGTACTGACAATGCTTGCATTATCTTCAACATTGCCTTTGAAATAGGATACATCAGCAAATTTCTGTCTAGCACCTCTTCATGTGCACAGATGGCATGAGAACTGTTATAGTTTTGCTTCTTTCTTTCTGCCTTGATTTTTCCTCCTTGATTTCACTGTCTGGGTACAAAGCCATCAGCCTATATCACGTTGTGCTTAAGCAACACCTAATGACAGCCAGCTTTTCCACATTCTTATTCTCTCTGTGATCATCTCTGACTTCAAATACCCTCTCTTTGCTTTTAGTAGGCCTGGCATGAACAACTTTGCTTGAGGATCAGCTTCCATTAATTCTTCAAGTTTCACTAAGTTTTCTTTGTGAAAACTTGTCAAGTCAATGTCACTTCTGCCCAGGTACTGCATGTCAGGCCCACAATCACAATCACGTTGCTAGGACTTGTAGCTCATACTTCCTGAATGTCAGGATTCATCCAGGGAGACTCCTCAAAAGATCATCTAGTCCAACCCCCTGCTGGAGCAGGAACACCTAGGTTAGGTCACACAAGAATGAGTCCAGGTGGGTTTTGAATGCCTCCAGAGAAGATGACCCCACAACTTCCCTCGGCCACCTGTTCCAGTATTCAGTTACCCTCATCATGAATTTTTTTTCCTCATAATTTTTTCCTCATATTTTGGAACCTGCTGTGTTCCAGCTTGCACCCACTGCCCCTTGTCCCATCACTGGATGTCACTGAGCCTGGCTCCATCCTCCTGACACTCACCTTTACATACTTATAAACATTAACGAGGACACCCTTCATTCTCCTCCAAACTAGAGACCCAGCTCCCTCAGCCTCTCCTCATAAGGGAGCTGCTCCACACCCTTAATCGTCTTTGTGGCTCTGTGCTGGGCTCTCTCCAGCAGTTCCCTGTCCTTGAACTGACACGGTACTCCAGATATGCTCTCACCAGGGCGCAGCAGAGGGGAGGAGGACCTCTCTGGACCTACTAACCACACCCCTTCTAATACACCCCGGTGCCGTTGGCCTTCTTGGCCACAAGGGCACAGTGCTGGCTCGTGGTCATCCTGCTGTCCACAGGACCCCCAGGTCCCTTTCCCCTGTGCTGCATCCAGCAGGTCAGTCCCCAACCTGTACTGGTGCCTGGACTTGTTCTTGCCCAGATGGAAGACCGCACACATGCATCTGGTTGCATCACCTCCTCGGGGTGATGTGTTGATGCCTTGATGTCAGATTCTTAGTAAGTTATTTTTTTTAAAACCCATGCTAGCTTTGCTAGGATTTGATCTTAGATTCATTATCACTCGTCACCCTCTGTTTAGCAAACAGTCAAAGATATTTTGAATCAAGCTGCTTGAGAAAGGATGCCATTACAAATTACTGAAGACTGACATCTTTCCTACCATTCTTGCTGAACTTGTGCTTTGAGTGAGAACTGCCTGCATCCTTTCTCTAGCAGCAACAAACCACCAGTCATTAAAAGCCAACAGTATCCTTAGAAACAAACAGGTTAATACTTCAATTGAAGAAGCTCAGATCTACCAAGCAAGCTAGAATAAAATTTTTGTCCTCAATAAACATTAGATGATCTTCTTTTCCCACTGCTCTCATTCCAGTGTATTTTTTTATTTTTGAACTTACAATGAACTCCATACACATCCTTCTTTGTCCTGTCCCCTCCAGTGCTTCGTTTCCCCATTTTGCAGGCCCTGTTTGCTCTTTTCTGCCTAATCCTCTCAGCACTCCAGAACCTTCCAAGATGAGCGTGCAACCCTCTAAAGTTTCAGGTGACTATTTATTTTCCAGTGGTTTGGACCAGTCAGTATTTGGTTAACTAATACCACATTAAATAATACATAACTACATTAGCAAGCAGTGATCCAGTTATTACCCATCAACATTTTGGCTGGTCACATGCTGCATTCCAATGCATAGAAGATAATAAAATAAGGCAGAGGTGTTTATGTTGTTGTTGGCTTTTTTTGTCAAGGAAAAATTGTCCTCAACTTGGCTTGGTCATTACAAATTTTAGAAGTTATCATATTCAAATAGAAAGCGTACATTTACCTTGGGTTCTACATGTTTTTTTTACTTAGGGGATTTTTTCCACTATTCTAAGACCACATACAGAACTTTGAAGGGAGATGAGTTTACTCAATCTTCCAAAGAAGTCTGAGAAATCACAACCACCACCATTAGGTTTGTACAGTGTTTTGTGCTAAATTATTTCAAACATGGTGGTGTTCTTCTTCTTTAGAGATAGCACTAAGTCTTGTAAATAAGCCTTTATTATGTTTTGTTTCTTTTTAGTTACAAGATCTTTACACTCACTCACCATCCACAGTGACTGAAATAACAACTTGTGTTCAGCCTACCTTAAGCAAGAACACTTCCTATACTGGGCTCAATTTTTAAATGTAGGGAACTTATCTATGGTTCTTTCTTTTTTTAGGACAGTGACAAAAAAAGAGGAAGAGACACCTGATCTGCAGCATGACTAGAACTGGACATTTGGGGGGCCTCTCAGTGCATAGATCTGTAATAGAACAGTGTAAGAATTAGTGGCACACACATTCATCATCCTACCTCATCACACTAGTAGGTTTTGATTTCTAAAGCAGAAAATGCCCTCAAGTTTTCTCAAGACATTTTTTCCACCTTCAACTTCGATAGCAAACCCCAACTCTGCTGAATGACTTGTGTAAGATAGAATGCAGAACTCATGCATTCAGCAGCTCCTCTTAAATTATCTTAAAACAGCCTCACAGATGTTTCCTGATCACAGATTATCAGCTTACAGGTGTTGTTTTCTTTTTTTTTTTTAAACTATGCATAAACCAAAGCGCAGACCCAGAAAGACCATGTACGTTTTGTCAAGTCCTTGCAGCAATGTAAAAAAAAAAAAAAATATATATATATATAAATGATCATACAAGTCTGTATTTCACTCAGGATTAAAAATCATCTGCCAGAAGAACAACTGCTCGCTATCAAGTGTATTTTTATAACATGATTTCAACTTTAAGATAAGATTTAGAAGTCCATATTTGATAAAATTAAGCTTGGTAGATGGTAACACCATTATACTATTTAGAAGCCATATCTTTCCTCCACCAGCAGATTTATGAGTGGGACCTTGAATTTTACTGCATTTTAGTAGTTTGTAGTGCTAGGCCTTCCTTTGGCAGCTTACAGCATAGAGGCATGTTTTCAGCCAAATATATATATGCATTTTTAATCTCCTGTGACAGTTTTTAAAGAACACATTTTGATGTGGCTTTTGACTTTCTCTGGACACCTTACGGATTCCTATTTTGGAGAGATTTTACTGGAAGCTGTGCTGATGCCCTGGCAGCCAAGAGGGCAAAACCACAGTTTGGTGTGCATTAAATCCAACATAGCCAGCTAGTCAAATGAGGCAATTATACCACTGTTCACAGTGCAAGGGGACAGCCCAAAGCTGTGGAAGGAGAGGACTGAGAATTAGAAGTGTTTATTTTCTGCAAGCATGGTCAAACACTGGAACAGGCTTACGAGCAAGGTGTTGATGCCTCACGCCTGTCCATGTTCAAGAGCTATGAGAATAACGGCCCTAGAGAGGTCAGGCAGGTGGACATGGCCTTTGTAGGCCCTTTTCCAACTGAGCAGTTCTAATAAAAATAGGCACACATAGCACTGTAGAACTGCAAGGTATCTTAATTTTTGTTGTGGTATCAGTTAAATTCAACACACGCTGACTTTACTGGCTATTCTGCAGTGCACTGAGGTTAGCTGCTCCAGTCTTAAAATCCTCTTAAACATACATGTAAATGCTAGCTTATTTCCACGTAAACATAAAAAAGCAGCAAAATTTACAGCCAGTCACGTTGTTTTAGCTAAGACATCAGAGACACCAACACTGTATTTATCCAAAACGTATTACAGGATACAAGGAAGACTGGGCACATTATCATCATCTGTATGGCATACATGGGATGGACTGCTTCAGCATCAGCAAATCCTTTCTCATCATTTTCATGGCAGCAGAAATTTCTTCAGAGAAAAGGAATTCACAGGTACCTCACTGTAAATCCACTCTTTGCCAGTTCAGAACATACCTGTAATGTCTTCCCCTAAAAGACAATTCAAACATTTTGAGGGGAAAAAAATGAAAAAAAAAAATAATATATATATATATATATATATACTCATTTTCACTCCTTTAATCTCTCTGTTGTAGTTGTAGTGTTAGCACCTAATATATGCATCCACTCTTCTACTGTCATCCTATTTACAATCCACTGAAATGTATACTCTAAAAATACAATACAGTTTCAGAAATGTAAGGGGAAATGCACAATTTTCTAAGGTTTAAAAAAGTGACAGCCATCTGTACAGGATCATCAAATTTATCATCCAAGAAGTAAAATTTACAAGGCAGTATCCATCCACACAGCTACATGAAGGGGTAGGTGCTACACTCAGAGCAGCAGACTTGCTAATACAACAAAATATGGAATATGAAAGTGTTTTGGGGCACGGGAAAATACATTTAGTACCACTGAAGCTAAAAATTTAGGATTAGCCATATTCTAAAAACATATAACTGCAAACCTGGAAAACGTTCTGAAAATATTAAGCATTATATACACGAGGTAAATGTACCTTGGCCTTTTAAGAGGTAATTAGAGTTTAAAGCAACTGATAGTGATTTTTTTTTTTTTATAAACATGAAATGATTAACGCCATACAATCGTTTCAATGGAACAGTATAAACAAGAAACTAACTAAAAGCTGGAATTCATGACAATCACACGCAGAACCATGACTGAAAATATAATATAGCCTCTTATTTGTTTGACACCTTCATGTTCCCATACAGTCAGTGTTTTTATATACAAAGTCTTTCTCAGGATTACAAGTGAGACCACAGGAGGGTGACAGCAGATCATCACGCCTGGAAAATCAGCTTGATAAACATCTCAGAATTCCAGCTTTCAACATTAGAAGGTCCCTGAAGAACTCCAGCATTCCAAAAGCATTATTTTGGGCTTTTCAGCATCAGAAAATTCTCCCCACTCTTTATTCTACATGTCAGTATGCATCCAACTGATCGCCGAGGCTTCCAATGCTACTAAAATATCAAATTGATTGAATCCATAAAACTTAAGTGAACATATAAGGTACGTATATTTACAATAAACATTTGCATCAGTATTCAAACTGTTTTGGTATATACTTGAAATGATATAAAATTAGTATTCTGAATGCTAAAATATTTTGGTCCCCCTGGATTTCCAAGAGCAGATCCGGTGATAATAAAATCTTAATTTAAAAAATACTTATGTGTACCTGTGTCCATACATATAAGATATGATCTTGCACAGGTAACACTTAAAGTTACATAATATATACAGACACAGCCTTTGTAAAAGGTGTTCAGTTTTTATAATGTAAAAGAACACAGCATGAAGTCGTGGTATCCGAACTGAGGATACATACATATCCATTCAGAATTTTCCTGTACTGCATTCCAATATGAACAACATAGTTGTTCTAAAATAATATTTGTAATGTCACACAGTATTGACTGTCCTTCCCATGGCATGATGTTTCTAAATTATGAACGATACCATTTGTATCTATGATAAGGAATCAGGTAAAGCTACGACAAACGTCAGAATTTAACATTATTTAGATAATAAGTCTCTAAAATTAGTATGGAGCAAATAGTAAGTCTTCCTCTGATGCTGACTTGTTTTCTGTAAGTATTTTTCTGCATCTACAGGATGCGTTAAAGGGGCATGTCAAATAAGTAGAATGAAGAGTCTGGTTACATTTGGTCATTTGCATAAAGGTAGTTTAAAATCCCTACGTGAAGTCATTTTGATTTAACTTTGACTGACAGCGTCCTGAAAGCAGTGTGCCAAAAAGAGACACAACACACAGGTGGGACAGTTGTACGAACATTGCAACCCAACTGTTTTCTACTGAGAACTTCTCTGTCATTGTGTTCTGTTCTCTAAACTCATCCACTGTGGTGGCTGAAGAAAGAATTGCGTTCCACGCAGCTCAAACTCTGACAGTCTGTAATTCCACATCATTTAATCCCATCTCCAAGCAAGCATTAAGAGTTTGGCACTGCTCAAGACTTACCTAACGCTAAGCCTTGGCCAAGACTTTTGCCACCTACACGGCCTTTTCACTAGGCTCTCTGCCCATCTTACTGCTGTTACCAATTGTGCATCACAGACGAAGGGGCACAATCTCAGCTATGCTACCATTAGCAAATCACCTTGCCATCCCTACTAGCTCTGTGAAAAGCCTTCGAGGAGCTATATGCTGAAAAACAAAAAGAAAGCAGAATTAAGGTTGCTGTGTGTTGCTCACCAGGAATACTCCTGGAGAGTGAAAGGTTAATTGTTAGTTTATATACTAATTACCAGCCAAAGATCAACCACACTCTTCCTACCACTGCAAGTAAAACATATCCTGGCAAGAAAAAATCTTAACAAGTTTCCCTACCCTCGTTCAGAAGTTGGGCAGGAAGGAATTCAATTTCTAAACAAGTCTGCGAAGATACTGTGATGTCCCTACAGCTTCAGGCAAGGTCTGACTAAAGCCAGGCATGCTTTTATGTATCCTTACGACAACACAAACCATCATAAGCTTTGTTCTTCTGAAGAACATTGATGGAGTCTTCTGGTATTTGTATCTAAAGACCTTCAGCTCACTGGTTTCTATAGCTCATCCCTTTCTTTGTATGTGGCACACAAAAAATATGCACATAAGATTTACAGGCAGCTTCTAGCTTTCTTGTACAAAAGCCTAAATAAGTCTCCCTAGTTACAAGTACACTTCGCGCTCATTTAATTGCGAATATTAGCTTTTAAGCCTAAAGACTCCACAGAACTGCACAGAACATATGCTTCTATTATTAAATTTGAAGGGGGAAAATCTTCCTTGAGATCATCTTAATTTTCACGCTATTTTTCTGAAGTAGGTTGGTCTTCAAGATTTCAGAATTACCACATAAAATAAAGCTTAAATTACGACTCATGACTTGGCAATTACAAAGTGTGACAATGAATTAACCAGTTTACATGTTTTGAGACTTTAAACAATAGTTTAAAGAGTTAGATTTTGGTAAAATTCAAGGTCTTCCACAAATTACACACTCGCTTGCTGAAATGAGTGCGAGTTAAATCTTACCTAGGGAAAGGAACAGTTCATTCTTGGAAATCAAAAGTACCATGGGCTCTGTACACTTGCTGGTATGCATGAAAAGACTCAAAAGCAGCACTTACTGATATAATACAATCTATTTTAAAGGCAATGTAGTGTTCTGGAAATATGGAAAAAAAACAAACAGTAATCATGTAGATAGTTGCATAATTTATGTTCCCCACTACTGAATGAGGTCAAATTTGCAAATTAAGGTAAGCATTCCAAAGACATACAACCTTAATGGGCAGCAAAGCATACTCCAACAGTACATTCAAAATCTGAATCAAAGAACTGTAACAGCGGTTCAGAATACTCAATGTACCAGGCAGGAATAACGTCGCTGAAGCAGCCTTCAATGCACTCTAGAACAATACAGTGAACCGTTGCCATTTTAAAAGCAATCTTGTTTTCAGTACAGTTTACTAGAAGTTAAGACCAGCTATGAACTTTCCAAATAAAAAAATCATAGGTCAATAAAAGCAAAACTAGTCTACACGATGTTTTGTAAGTAACCTCAGAACAAGGTTCATAGTGCACAGAAAGGACCCAAAGCAACTGCTCAGCACATCCACAGAAATCCTAACAAGTGACGTTCCTATGCAGTATTAAAAGGCAGCAATATCCTTCTGTTCCCCCAGTGAGGTAGAACAATTAACCTTCTTAACACGCCACTCTGGTGCAGGTATGGATTTTTACAGTTTTTTTTTGTGTTTGTTTTTGGTAGCAAATCCAGGATCACATCTTTATCCCCTCCTGTTGACTAAGCTGTGATAGTGTTTTCTTAATACGCAACGCTGTTAGCCTAGCAGCTCCGTTGGCATACCAGCATTCCCGCATGATCTTTGCCATTACTCGTAATGCCTGCAAAAGAAACAAATTATTACATGCATTTCTGTTCATACAAAACCTCTGTACTGCCTTAGCCTCTTATAGTACATATTTCTGGAGTCTATTACTAGGACTACATTGGCATGTTGTATAAGAACACTCAAATCTTGATTTTTTTTCCTGTAAGTAAGAGATCTGGTATTATTCAGCATGTGCAAAAATACTGTAACAAAATTTAATAGCTTGTCTAACTGTTTTCCAACCTAAAGTTCTGAATTAGAAAAAACACACTAATTGTGCTTTAAATCCAGGTAAAAAGCAATAGTAAAGAACCAGAAGGCACTAAATATTAGCATGGAAGTGCTGTGTAGCTGAGCATGTACCCAAACACTTTCTCAATCATTAAGTGCTTTTCAAAGAGTTAGTTAAATATACAGCAATTCAGCACTTTTTGTTAATCAGGTACTTCCATTGAATTTGAACTTTATAACATTCTGAAAACTTGGAGCCTTTTTATCCCTCAAAAACCTATTTTTTGAAATTTGTAAACGCTACTATCAAGTCACAATGGAAAGAACAAAAATTGATGAAATAAAGGATAGATACACAGATTTTACGCTCAGAGCTGTATGATAAGAAATTGCTTAGTTGATTTGCAAGATTTGAATGGAAGCATTAAAAAAAAAAAACAACTTTTGTAGCAGTAGGTGTGTACTGCCTTTCTCTCCAAGCTGCACTGTGTTGCCAAATCTTTTTTCTCAGGCCTTCATGTGTGTATTAACTTCACACATTCCACAACCCAGTTACCTCTTCCATCTAATGGACATCACATCAACCTACTCCTCTTCTAGCTTCCTGCAGCTATTCTCCTATGCTCTGGCAAGCAGTAGCTACCAGCGTAACAAACTCGTTCCAGAGTCAGTCTAAATTCTGCAAGATATGCCTCTGTCAAACGAGAGGGAAAAGGCACCAGACTTAGTGCCCGGCTGGTTCACATCAGGCAGGACAGCACTGTTGAAGACGAGCAGTACTGTTGTCCTGGCAGAATGCTGAGTTGAAACTATGCCTGCTTTTCAAAAAATGTACTAGCCAGCCTAGGTATAAACCAACTGGCACAGACCTAATGAGAAGCTGTACATTTTTCCTGATTAAAACAACAAAAAAAAAGCTTTTACTGCCTCAGCTGTGTGTTAATCCTGACAAGCAACTGACTCCCAATCCACAGAGCTGCCTGTTCACTCACCATGGAGTGGAGAAAGAAAATCAGAAGGGCAAAAGCGGGAAAACACGAGCTGAGGTGAAGACAGTTTAATAATGAGGAACAAAAAAAAAAAAAAAAAAATCCAACAAAAACAAACAATTTAGAAGCCATTGCTCACCATCAGCTGAACAATACCTGGTCAGCCACCGAGCAACAACAGCAGCCTGACCAGAATTAAGCTGCTGAGCATGACACTGAGTGTTATGGTATATCCCACTGATTAATTTGAATTTTTGTCCCGTGTTTCCTTCCAGCCTCTTGTCCGCTACCAAATTACAAGCCATGGGGGCACAGCTGAGTTATCAGTGTGCTCAGGCAGCTAGAAGGGCCAACTGTATCCCAGGGTACATGAACCACGGCACTGCTAGCTGGTCAGCCTCATCTTCAGTACTGTGTGCAGTTTCTGGTGCCATGGTACAAAAAGGACATAAAACTATCAGTGTCCAAAGGAGGGCTAGGAATATGATGAAGGGTCCAGAGGGGAGACCCTATCAGGAACACCTGAAGTACTTTGGTTTGTTCAGTCCAGAGAAGAGGAGACCTCATTGTGACCTACAGCTTCTCCATTAGAGGAGCAGAGAGGCAGGTGCTGATCTCTCTGTTGAACAAAACCCGAGAGAACACCATGAAGCTGTAACAGGTTCATGTTGGGTGTCAAGAAAAGGTTCTTCACCACAAGGGTGGCTGAGTACTGGAATGGCTCCCCAGGGAAGCGGTCACGGCACCGAGCCTGCTAGAGTCAAGAAGTGCCTGGACAATGCTCTCAGTCATACTGTCTGATTTTTGGATGGTGCCATGTGGGGCCAGGAGTTGGACTCAATGATCCTTACAGATCCCTTCCAACTCGGGATAAGATGTAATTCTATGATTCTAGGAAGATTAACTGTATCCTAGCCAGATGCTGTACAGCCTCCTATTAAGCCATTTATTCACAATGACACTTCCCAGACAACGTAATTGATACTAGCTTTAACTTATATTAGCTTCCCTTATGCTTCACAGGAAGGAATGCTAGAATTCTTTGTGGAACATAAGCTATTCGCTTTTGTAGGACTTCATTAAATATTTAGGCATAATCAAAGTTCAAGAGTATTCAATAAAGCCACGATGATTAGAAAGAAAGAAAGTTTTCCCAGAGGCAACCCTTCTCCCTTCCACCACAAGCACAACTTTCAAGCTGCTGAAATCAATAAAAGCTCCAGCGTTCATAAAACAGCTTTATAGAGGTTAGCCAATACCTCACAGCTCTGCCATCTGTTTGGGATATTGGGCCTTAACTTCTGCTCACAAACAACTTTTTTCATTTCTTCAACAGAAGGATCTGAAGGAACTAGGTCATAATATGGCAACTGGTAATCTTCATGGATTCCTGTAATTGGTTGAAAAAAATCTTTTATTTTTACCTAACACTGAAACATGCACTCTAATTTTACTTACGGTCCTTATTGGCGCCATTTTATTTTTCTACTTTTATTTCTATAAAAAACATCACATTGTGATCTACAATAACATTTTGAAAAAACATCCTTACACATACCTTTACATTACCTTTGAACAAATTTTGAAACGTATATATTTGGAAGAGATGAAAGCTATGCCAAATCTTTCATAGGCTAATCCAAAGAAGTCCTTTTTGGAAACATGCCATTTTGAATAAACTGTACACATCTAAACACATGATGTCTAGGTCTTAATTGCAGTGTTGATCTCAAGGGCATTTAACTCTACTCTTTTATTCTCTTTACATCAACAGTTTTAGAGAGAAAAAAACAATACAGGCAGGACTATTTCCCATATTCCTCACCTGCTATGGTTCATTATTTTACACAGAGGTGGAATCAACTAGACATCATTTACAGGATTAGCAATTAGAGAGTCTGAAACATACTGCAGTGTTTTTCAAGAAAATTTCTTAAGCTTCTGCTCACAAGGATCTGTAAATTACAAAACTTGACAGAATTTTAAGTAAAGATTGCTACATACCACCGATTGAACATCGACGAGCAATTTCCCAAAATACTAATCCCATTGCATAGATGTCTGCTCGTTTGAATGATTCAAAATGTTTCATATTTATGGAATCATCTAAAACTTCAGGTGCCATGTACCTATTTGCAATAAAAGAACAGAAAACGTGTGATTTCATAAGTATCTCCTGTAGAAGAAACTCGGTGTTACTGTTCAGCTCAAACACATTTATGTGGAAAAGGAGAGAGAGAGAAATAATGCACTTTACATTAAGATGTTCAAAGTTTCCCTGCTTTTGGCATATACGTTTACAAAAAAAAAAATAAAAAAAAAATCAAAGCATTGAAATAAACAGCTGTAAGATTTAATGTAAATTAAATAGAATTTATGAGGGATATTTAGATTTGATTACTAACAGAAAATATACTTCACAATTTAGAATACAGAAAGATAACTGAGTGCCAATTTGAAGAGCAAGTGAATGGAGAGCAGAGAGCCTGAATCGTGGAACAGCTTGGGTTGGAAGAGATCTCAAGAACCCCTTCCAGGGTTGGAAGGGATCTCAAGAACCATCAAGCGTCAATGCCCCACCACAGGCAGGGAAACAAGCTGCTAGATCAAGTATTAGATCAGATTACCCAGGGCCCCATCCAGCCTGGCCTTTACCACCTCCGAGGATGGGGCATCCGCAATTTCTCTGGGCAGTCTGTTCCAGCACCTCACCATTTTCTCAGAAAATACACTTTCCCCTGACATCTGATTTAAATCTTGTTTCCCTTAGTTTTAAACTTCTCCTCCCTACCCCTGTTTACCTGTGTGATTTCCCTCATGTTTATTAACTCCTTTAAATATTGGAAGGCTGTAAAGAGGTCTCCCTGCAGCCCTCCCTTTTCCAGGCTGAACAAGCCCAGCTCCTTCAGCCTACCAGCCCACCAATCATCTTCATGGCCCTTCTCTGAACCCTCTCCAATAAGCTCCACATCTTTCCTCCGTTGGGGGCCCCAGATTTGGACGCAGTACTCCAACTGGGGCCTTGTGAGGGCAGAATAGAGAGGGACAATCACCTCCCTTGCCCTGCTTGCCACCTGATGGAATCTAGAACACCACTGATCTTCTGGACTGCAAGTACATGCTGCTGGCTCACGTTCAGTTTTTCATCCACCACAACCCCTAGGTCCCTCTCAGCAGGGCTACAAGGCTGAAAAGTCTTAAGTTTTCACAAAAGACAGAGTCAAAGAATTCCCACATAAAAATACACGGACAGCAGTTTACAGGAACGCTTGTTGTTCTTTATGCAGAAGAGAGTACATCTGCAAAAGTAGGATTTTCTGAGAATGCTGCTGAGGCACAGGGGAAAAGACTTGTGGGAGATTATACTAAAAGGTTGTAAGGTGTACGGGAACTGCTGAATCACAGCCTGAACCTCTGACTGAGCACCTGAGGCGAGCCATGAGTCAGCCCTGGGAGCACAGGTGAAGGCAAAGCTCTTGTGCTACTGGAAGGAGTGGAGCCTGGCTGCACCTCTCCTAGACCCCATTGAAGAGCTGAGTATGATGAGGGCAGGATCTTTTTTGGAGATCGCTCCTCTTGGAGCCTTCTCAGCGAGCCCAGGACAAGGGTAAGCTTTCTGCCTGTTCTTTGGTGTGATAACCTGCTTAGCCTAACTTCCCTGTATATTTTTCAGTTATAACATCCATATATCCACTGATTATAGGTAAGGTTATATGGAAGAGCACCTGCTTCATTAAGGTTATCCAACCAAAGACCTTTCATTGTAAAGCAGACAAACAGAAAGCAATAAGCAAAAAAAAAAAAGGGGGAATAAGTAAAATGTGAAGAGATAAACAAAAAGAGCCATAAACTTGGTAGATGTAACAGAAACAGTAATGATGACCAAAAGCCTCCAGTCACTGACTGATGGGCTATTAAGAAACTCCAGGCATAGTTTAGGAGAAGGCCAGTCTCGATTTTTTAATTGCTAATAAGCGTGAAAACAAGAGAAATGCAAGGAGTGTGGATATTCATACTGTACTGTGGGACAACATGAAACTTATCAAGCAATATTTAGGAGAAGGGAACCTAAAAGGAGCCAAACTGAAGGAATACACAAAATGACCTGACAAAGGGGCCAGGTGCATGTAGACAGACCATCTGTTTTTCCGATCAAGGCCCATCTCTGTCTGCTCATTGCTGTCTTTTTAAATCTTTTTTAAAAACTATCATTCTATATAATCTCATCATTTGCCCTCCCACACTGCACATGTGCTCTAAGGTCTACAGGCCACAACTGGAAATAGGTGTGATTCAGAGCCAGTAACTGGAATCAGACCAGGGATGAAGGTGCCACTGGGCCTCGAGTGCCATAAGCTACAGAGGAAGAATGTTTCAGCAACTGGAAATGGAACTGCACGTCCTAGAAGTCTTTGGAGCATACATATGGAGTGACAGCTCTTGTGGGGGAAACAGTACGAGCGAATTCTGGGCCAGCAACTGCAGTCAAACAGTGGGTGAAGACATCCCTGGGACTGGGTTGCCAGCAATAGGAGCAAGTCATTGTCTCACTGCCAGTGAGAATGAAGAAGCAAATGAAGGTCAGTGCTTCAGACACTGGAATGGGACCATGGGTAACAGGGCCCACAGTTCCAGCTGACAGGTACCAGTTTCTGCAGGACTGGGATCAGAGAAGCAGAGTAAGGGCTCTCTGTCAAAGAGAGAAGATAGGATTGCGGCAGCAGCCCCTACAGATTAAGTATTAAATGCATGAGGTCTCAGATAATTAACATGTATAGATTACTGCAATGTCAGCCAATAGTTCTACTTCTGGAACAGTCACAGAAGCTTATACACAACTATATCCAATCAGCAATAGCACTGCAGAGACTTAAATATACTAGGACTCCCATTTTCTTAGCACCAGAGGTAGCATGTAAAATACAAGACTGGAAGTGACATACAAAGAAGGAAGGGCTATCAATAAGAATGCAAAAATATGCATAGTCCAATAAGGGTTGTTGAAGACAAGGTTCTCCTGAGCAAAGTATAGGCATATAAATCCCTCACATGATAACAGCACAAGCAGAGAACAACTGTCTGAACAGAAACATGAGGCTTACCTTGACTGCATTTACCAAGTGAATGTGGTTATAAACTTGTATGTCAGTCTTTTACAAGTCTCAAATGATTCTAGGATATCTACATTGAAAACTTAAATCAAGAAAAATGCAGGATTATAGTGAGCGTTTCCTGATTTCAACAAGGACTTTGCACACATACTGGATTATAATCTTATGTTACTTCATGTCCTTAACAGTATAATGCTCAGCTTCTGGTCCAAAGGAAATATTTAATCTATCTCAAGATCATGTGGGGACAGTGGGGACAAGAATATTGAAGGAGTTTGAAGGATAGGGGAAAAAAAGCACAAACCAAAATACCCCAAACATGATGCTGGTCTGTTAGGCAAAATCCCTTAAGCAAGTACTAGTGAAGGCTGTCCCATTTCTTTAAGTCATCCTAGGGACAAGAATTTTAACAGAAAAACTCAGAGGCCCATGGTTGAATTCATGCCCTCAAGGAAGAACAGAAAAACAAGGATATTCTCACCCCTGAAACTTATAAGAGGAAGCTTGGCTTGCTCCCTAGACCGTAAGTTTTACTGTAGATAATTACTGCAAAAAAAATATTAACTTAGTCTAGTCTCTCTAAATTTGCATAGAGAGCTTCCATGCAAAGAAGAGAAACCAGAAGAGATACTGGTATTCAGCAACTGAAGTACAGTTGTTATTGAATAGGTGCAAGCTGAGCTTTACTATGGAAAAATAAGTGAAGATGCAGAGTTACTTACCTAAGAATTCACAAAAGGGAGGAAGAAGGGACCAAGCCTTTCTATGAAAATGAACAGTTGTCAAAGAAGTGACTAAAGTCTAAAGCGGGCAGTGGACTTAGTCCTAATGCTGCCCATTGCAGAAAGAGAGCTGTTACATCTTGAACCTTGTGAAGAAGCATGAGGCAATGATTAGTGAGGATTTTGGAGGAGTAATTCCCAGTATTTTGTAATCTAGCAGAAATTCAGGAAGTAAATCATCTGGCCACTTGTGTAGCATTTTTAATTTGGTAAGGGAGCAAGAATAGCAGGGCTTTAGAATGAAGTAATCTCAACAATGTAATTGTCAGTAAAACAACTTGCATTTAAAATTCTAAAAGCTTTGTTCACACATGCACACATAGCATCACTCACTGAAGAGAAAAAAATCATTTTTGATTTAACAATCAGATCAGGCAACATCAGTACAGAATATCCTCCAAGGCAGCTAGAGCATATGGCTGAATTTAATACTGCACAGCCCTATATGACAGGGTTTCCATACATTTCTCAGTGACAGACTTTGGTACAAGCAGCATCACTGATCTAACACTGAAGCACTTAATTATTTGCACTTAGAAGTGCAATTATGCATGTCTCAAGTTACTTTGAGAATGAGAAAAATCTACATATCCAAATTCAGAGGTAGACTTTTTTTTTTTTTTTTTTTTTTTTTAGAAAAAAAGAGAGCAATATTGATCCATCCACTGGTAATTCTGTTTATGCAACAGATGACTGCCTTGAGATATTTTTTTTCTCTTAAAAATATAACTCCATGGAAGTCTATACTCAAGACTCTGCACACTGTTCTACCATGTGGGATTCAAATTTGAAACAAATAAAATACTGCCCCCAAAAAACAAGGAAAATTGACAAGTAAAAAGAAAAGCACATGCTTTACTTTCAACATCCCAACTTACATGCACCCAGATGGCAACAAGGCATAAAATACAAAGACAGAGCAAGTGAAATCTCTATAGGTATTTCTGAGGTCTTCTAATCGTTTAATGTATACTTGTGCAAAATGTAGCAGGACACGTTTTCAAGCATTTTATATACATGCTAGCAGTAGAAGCCAAAAGTACCACTGCGTGCTTTAAATACAGTCTAATGCACCAGCTGAACTGCCTGCAACAGAAATCTACTTGGTACTGTTTATATTTATTTTTTAAGTTTGTAGCTAAAAAACAAATCTAAACAGGAGAAAAAGCAAAGCATTTTATTAAGAAGACATCTGATACATCACACTAATAGTTTTTACCTTTTTGTTCCTACTCTGTGGTTGGGGGCAATGTCAATTGTGTCTGTAGCTGAATCGTGTCGAACTGCCAGCCCCAGGTCTGCAATGCAGCATGTTCCATTCTTTTTTACCAATATGTTTTTTGATTTCAAATCTCTGTGGGCAATCGCTGGTTTGCCTGTAAAGAGAAAACAAAAATAACACATATGTAAAACAACTGCTAATATTCTAGACCTGGTGCAGATTTTGTTTCAAATTACGGAATTCTTTCCAGATCTGCTACTTTGAGCTCATCCTCAAGATAATCCCTGAAATCATTCTTTGTGGACTAGCTAGCTGACCAGAAAAGTGCACTAAATGCTTATGGTATTACCCTAGTCTATGCTGCTTCCCTCCCTCATCCTACGTACATACAAGCAGTGCATAAGTACTACTTGCTGTCAAAAGACTTCTATCTCATGAAACAGCTCCTTAATGCTGCCACAAATCAAAAGTAGGCACTGCATGTGTGTAGTGTATGAAAGATAATTACATAATCACAAGAACTGGATACATCATAGAAGGGAAGGTTAAAAAAGACCCAAGCCCCCAGAATGCCTCAAAATATCAGCAGTTAGAAAAATCATAAAGTGCATCAGTTAAACTAGAAACTTTACATACGTCTTAACAGTAAGGAAGTTTCTGACAGTTTATTCTCTTTGTAAGCTTTTGAAGGAAAACAAAATGATTTTGCTGTAGTAGTACAAGAGCAGCCATTTTAGCACGTAAAGGAATGTAGCTGGTGGGTGACAGTTGAGAGAAAGCCTGTTATCATCAATGAAGAAGAGATAAGCATACTTTTACAACTAATAGACTTCCAGAAGTTCACCCTTTTTTTTTTATTAGGTAGTAGAAGAAAAATTTCCAATTTCATCTTGTTCTCAGTAGAAACATATACTGAAACACGCTGTCTACATCAAATTAAGATCCTATTTTAGTTCAGAAATTATTATAGGTCCTAAACAAACATTTCTCAATTAACTCGGCTCCTCAAAAGATTACAAAAGCAAGCAGTTGCAAAAAAGCTAGTCTGAGAAAGTTCAGTGTTCTAATTAAGACAAAGTACAAAGAGCTAAGTGTCACTAAAATAAAACCGTAAATCTATTTTAGCCACGTAACAGACTGAATAATTTAAAGATTACCTTGTGTGCCTACAATTTCCATGTGAAGATGAGCAAGGCCACTGGCAGTAGACAAGGCTAATTTTATCATTCCTTCCACGGTTACTGTATACCTGTTCAGGTAATCAAAGAGCGACCCATGTTCGTGATAATCTGACACCAACCACAGCTGTGTCCACGTACCATTGTCTGCAAAACAACACCAGCATGAATGTCACACACACAAAACTGCACCCACAGACCCCACTCTTATACAGTGCTTAGGGATTGCAAACTATGTTTTGTAACCTCCACCAGGTAGACTTCAAGTCTTTACTTCTATCCTAGTAACATTTAAATGCCTCTGTAAAGGTCTTACAATGCAAAAACATTATGAACAGCTTAGGGAATATTCATTAACTTAAATTAAAAGGCAAACTGCAGAAAGCCTACGTTGCTATTGTTCCTGCCTAGGGAACAGTATGAATGCATGATGCAAAGCTAATGACACCAGTACCAGTCCAAAGTCATCCAGACTACAGGTAGAAAAAAATACCTGTCTAAAAACTCCTGCAAGTTTATTACGAGTTTATAGCTTAACTTGCTTCACTTATTACTCTATTTTTGCTTTACCAGGCTAATTACTTCAGGTAGTAAGTGTTAAAAAAAAAAAAAAAACAACCAATTATCTCCTGCCCTCAATCATACTTCTGTGCAACTATGTGCCTGTGCAAATCAAGTATTGCCTCATAACTCTTTCAGTCTCTCCCCATACTTATCCAGCCTCAGTCTGTGACACACTGCCCACAGTTATGAGCAGATGTTGGATTTTCCTCCTGGAGTGGGAGCTTGCAAGCAGCAGCCTGATGTTTTATTTCAAGAACTAAACCAAATCCCACCACCAGTGACCTCAAAGTTGCTGGCCAGAACTGTGGTTTCCAAAGAGAACAAGGGATAAAGAGAATGAAAAACACCAGTTACGAGAAAACCAGTTTGCTGTATGATTTTCCACTGAACTATGAGACAGACAGACAGACAGGCTGCAATACACAAATACCTCAAGATAGAAAAGTGACAGGCAAGAATCCAGTTGCTCAAACTACAAGAACACTGGACACAATGTCTTGAAGTTTATCTACAGAAAGAAGACTAACAAGTCAAATCATGGGGAAGAAAGGCTTTCTGACCTAGGAAGCTGAAAGTACATCCACAGAACAGTCCTGCCGCTATGTAGGTTTTCTAATTATTTCTTTATTAATTTAAAGCTCTCAAGACAGATCTCAGAAGTATTTTATAGCTACTTTTGTGGCTGTATTTTATAATTACAATTATAAAATTGTAGTTCAGGACCTCTATCCCAATCTACACAGCCATTATTCCTAATAACAGGTGACAACACAAGCTAAACATATGAAGAACAGGAAGAAACGAATGCAGAAGTTAGTTCCTATCATAAGTATCCTGCTAATCAAACTGACAGTTCTGCAGCTTCTTACATTTCTTTTTTCTTCCTCCAATTCCTCAAAAACACGCTGGGCTCAGAAAAGTCAGAAGCACAACATGCCAGATCTGCAGATCATAGACTATATATTTAAGCACTGTTGAGTGGGTGAGAAAACTTTAAAGAAACACTTCTACATGTGTGGTTCAAGAGAGGTCAGAGTTACCATTAAAGGAGAAACTACATCAGTAACAATGCATTTTTAAAAATAATCTAAACATTTCAGAGCAGGAACATAAAAGTCTAAATTACATTAAAACAATTCTTATACTAGAAAAAGAATTCTAGCTCCCTACATTCACAGCTTACTTTCAAACGTAACTTCACTGAACCAGTTTCACAGAACCATTAGATAAGCATTTACAGGCACATAAAATGATGCTCTTTCCAATGCACATATTCAATAAGCTCAAAAAAGCTGTAGGAGTTCAAAATGAAATAACCTAGTCACAAGTCAGAACATTTTCTTACTTTCATTTTACTGCTTCATCAGTTACATCCCCACACTGACTGAAACAATACCTGGCCATTAGCACCATACACAGTCACGCAGTCACTGACTCATCCTCTGTGTTTCTTATGGATGGGATTTCTGTGTGTTTAAGCTACACAACAGTAAGTACAGAATTCAGCAGATATCCAGGAGCAATTAAATTTAAGCTATCTACTAGGTCTACTGCATTGAAACAGATCTTCCAAAGACACTAGATTGTTCATGAAAAACCACCACTGTGCTGAGTCAAGACTGTATTGCCTACACATAAAGTCTTTTCCTCTGAACTCCAGATGCTTACCTAAGAAGAGAACACATTTCTAATTACAGATCCTTCTGTTTTCTTTTGTACAATTCTACTACCTGAAAGGTGCAAAAATAAACAAATAAATAAATAAATCACAGAATATCCCAATTTGGACTCGATGATCCTTGTGGGTCCCTTCCAACTCCTGGTTGCACACATCACCACCCACAATTTAAACCATGTTTCTGAGAGCACCATATCCAAACACTCCTTGAACAACACCAGCAGGCTTATGTCATGACATGGGGTGTTACAGTGCCCAACAACCCTCTGGTGAAGGGTGCAACCCTCTCCTGACACAGCTCTATGCCATTCCCCTGGGTCCTGTCACTGCCATCAGAGAGTAGATATTGGCACCAGCCTCTCTGCTCCCTCCATAAGGAGGCTGGAGGCCATAGGGCCTCCCCTCAGCCTCTTGTCTGGGCTGAACAAACCATGGGAATTCATCCACTCCTCACAAGTTTTGCTACAGGCCCATCACCATCTAATAGTTTCATGTCCTCCTTACACTGTGGTGCCCAATACTTCACATGCTGCTCAAGGTTGAGGACTCACCAGTTTAGAGCACAGTGTGACAATCTCTCCTCTTAACCATCTGGCAGTGCCAGGTCTGATGTACCCCAGGATACAGCTGGCCCTTTTGACCATCAGGGCATGCTGCTGACTCAGATTCAGCTTGCCATCAGCCAAAACTCCCAGATCCCTTTCTGTGGAGCCCCCTTTCCAACCTCTCATTCCACAGTCTGTACACTTATTCAGGGTTATCCTGTCCCAGGTATAAAAATCCAGTGCTTACTTTCCTTCATCTTCACGTGGTTGGTAGTCACTTCACCCTTCCAATTTGTCAGGATCTCTCTGCAAGACCTCTGTGCCCTCTCCTGGGAGTCAGCAGTCCCTCCCAAATTAGTATCACCTGCAAGCTTACTTAGTATACCTTCCAGTTTTGTATTCAAGTCATTAAAGTGAACTGACCCTAAAACAAAGCCTTGCAGAACCCCACTAATGACTGACCACCAGCCATTTACTGTAACCCTCTGGGCTTGACCATCAGTCAACTGCTCCCTCATCCCATTATGTTTTTGTCTAGCTGCACGCTGACTGTTCTGTTCAGAAGGATACTGAGAGAAGCAGTTTTGAAAACTTGACTAAAATCCAAAAATATTACATCAACTGGTTTTGTCTGGTCAGCTAGGCAGGTAACCTTATCATACAAAGCGATTCGGTTCGTTAACAGGATCTTCCCCCCACAAACCCTTGCTGACTGGGGCCAATGACTGCACTGCCTTTCAGATGTTTTTCAATAACCCACAGAATATTCTCCATAATTTTGCCAGGCACCGAAGTGAGACTGACAGGCTTGTAATTACTAGTTTTCTTTCTTGATCTTCTTGAAAATCGAGTCAACGTTTGTCTGCTTCTACTTAATTGGCACTTCTCCAGATTCCCAAGACAGTGAAAAATAACTGAAGGCTGATGTTATTTTTTGATACCCATCCCTATAAGAACCTCGGATGAATTAGATCTCATAGATTTATGTGCATCCAGCTGAAGCAGCAAATCCAACAAGGTCAGAACTGACTGGGAGTTTACTGTTAAGACAGTCATAGTGCTTTAATTCAGGGCTCCAGGGGTTCCAGATGTTCACCGATGCTCAAGACAGCAGCAAAGAAGGCTTTAAACATCCCTGCTTTATCTGCATCCCTACTTCTAAGGTATCCATCCTCATCAAATGAAATGAAGTTATCTATGCTCCTCCTTTTGCTGCTGACACATTTTAAAAAGCCCTTTTGGTTGTTCCCCATAGTACTGACCAGTGTCAACTCATACTGAGCTTTTGACACACAAATTTTCTTTCTACAATGGCAAACAGCATCTCTGCATTCCTATCCCTTCTGGAGACAGAAAAATTTCCCACTGTGACACACCAGTCACAGGTGTCTTCCAAGCAGGTTTCACTTATTTGTGATCAAAGCTCTGGGACAGAGCCAAGACTTCTAGCTCCTCCTGCTTTACTCCTCATGTTGCATACACTGCTGCAGAAACATTTTGATCCAGTGTGCCTAGCACCTTGTGGAGCAGACTGAAGGTTATCATTAGCATGCAGCCTCTCAAATGCTGCTATGCCATTCCACAGTTTATCACTGGTTTTTCCCTTTTCTCTCTCTGCATCTACTTTAAAGCTTTACAGATCAGTCCTGCTCACTCCAGCAGATAAAAATTCTTTTCAAACCCTGTAAGAAAGGTGCTTCCCTTCAGGTGCCAGCAGGCCTGATGTTGTACAGGAAACCCCACAATCAAGAGCCACAAAATTCTGCTGGTGACTCCAGCCTTGGAGCCATGTATTGATCAGCTGGGTCTGCCTGTTCCTTCAGATACTGCTCCCTGCTCATTGAAGGACAGAGGAAAACACCATCTGATCCTTCAACTAATTCCCCCTAATGCCCTTTTTGATTGCTCCTGGACTTCTTTTTGCTACTTCATTCATCTTAATATTTAGTGTTTTTATCTACTTTCCAAAGGAAAAAGAATAAAATCTTGGCATATTACCCTTTCTGAAAGAAGCCTTTTTTTGAATTATGTATGTTTGTGGCCCTTCTATTAGATTCTAAACAAGCCATGGTCTTACATACAAGCTTACATGAATATTATTAGATACAGACCAGTTGAAATGCAGCAGTAAGAACACTGGAGTTCAGCTGGCACCACTACTACATCTTCACTTTATCTGACAAGCTATGCATTTATCTTTCTTTAGTGGTATTGGCAGAACACAAATTATTATGAATTTATTAAGTCTCATGCTGTTGACAGTATGGTTAATTATTACTTGGTGACCCTGAATATTCTGGTTGCAGAGTAAACAACATCTGCCACAAAGTTCCCAATTATACGACTCACATTATCAAGCATGAAAAAGTAGTTACACTCGGTCACAATTACATAGAGTAGCACAACTTTCCATGACAAAGTAACCTAATTTATCTACGACAACGTGATCAGGAACCTCAAGCAGTATCAGAATGGTAAAAAAAATAATGCAAGAATCTAGGTATCTTGGAAACCTATTTAAAAGTTTAATAATTCCACCCATCTGCAAGAAACTTTCTGAAAACGTTTTAAGATCAAAACAACTCAGAAGCAAAAAGTTTATTTTGTAAGATTAATAACATTTGAAGTTCTAAATCAAGAATCTTTCAGATTTGTTTTTAGGACACTGATTATAGAACATGAATTCCAAGTAATCTTCATTTTAGACAGTCTCCTTCAGAAGAATATATTAGATTACCTGCGCCTCATCTAACCTATGCAACCAAATTCCAACTACAATTAAATGCATGTTTGTCCATAAGACAAATGCTAAGTTTTAAAGTTTGAGTACTGCTGGGTAATTAGAATTCTAACCCCAGATTTATGCTCCAAGTCAAATGTTTAAAAAGAAGCTATGAAAACTACCTTATTACTTATGTTCTCTAGTATCTTACAGTAAAATGTATCCCACTGAACTTTGAAGAACTACTTTTTCAAACTGAAACTTCTCCTCCTTGAAGTGAAACAGCTTGACTATCACACTAAAGATAATCATCTGATAAACTAATTAATGACATGTAATTTCGGTAAATTAGGAAGACCATCCAGTCAAATGCCTTCTTCCCTGCTGACATCACAGCTTCAAACAGAATGGCAAAAGCATTTCTCAAGAGCAAGGTAATTGTACTCATTCCTCTGCAGTACATTGCCTAACATTCCTAGAAACACACTTAGCACGTAAGATAGGCTGATTGAATAAAGCTAACCTTTACCTACAGAGGTACAGCTTTTAATTAAGATGAAGGAACAGAAGTTGAAATATTTTAATGCATAAGTTTACCTAGAAGCATGCAGCATAACTTCAACTTACTAACAGTACGAATACAATTATTTCTATAGAATCTAAACCCATGGAATTCATGAGTAGTGGGAACAGAAGTTCCTGCCCGTGCCTGCAGACTACAGCAGATACTGAACACACTGTAAAATCAAACAAAACAAGTAAAGAAGTCACCAAAACCCCAAACTACATGCTTAGCTTGTTCAAAACAAGGCAACACATGGCCCCAGCAGCTTGTGGAAATTATACTTCTATAGGGAATCTTTTTTATTTTTTTAATTTGTAAGATGTAAAGATGTTTTCCAGAAAAAAAAAAAAAAAGCAGGTTTTGATTATTAAACATGTCAAATTAAGTGTTCAAGTAACATTTTTTTTTTTTAAGTCTTAACTGCCTATTTGTAAAATAGTTTTTGTAATTATCACTCTGAGAATCAAACAATCAGCAAAAGTAATTAGTAACATCTCTAACCTTTATTGTCCGCAGCTATGAATCCAAGAATGTTTTCATGTCGTAGCATAACTGTTTGATAAATTTCTGCCTCTCGAAACCACGAGCGCTCTTCTCTTGAAGAGAAGATCTTCACAGCAACTTCTTCTCCTCTCCATTTCCCCCTCCATACTTCTCCAAAGCGACCCTTACCAATGCTTTCTTGGAGTACTATAGTTCGTGCAATTGTTCTTTGCACAAGTAAAGGTAAACCTAAAAAGAAGATTTAACATTAACATTTAGCATTGAATTTAAATATCAAAATAAGCACTTAGCTTATAAGAATAGTAGTACATGTATTCCATTTTTCTCTTAAAATGCACAAACTTTCTCAAGATTTTGACAGCTTGCTGGGAACTTCTAACAAGCATGTAGTAAGTTGTTGCCTGCAATCATAAATGCCAACAATACAAAAGGTGATATTATGCTACAAGCTGCCTCTACAGTCATTCAAAGGTAGGCATAGACTTTCTGTTTAGGAATCTGGGACACAGAGATGAACAACAGACAGTGACATGACATGAAACACAATCAAACGAAATACAGAACATGAAACAGTAAGGGTGGTTTTTCTTTGTTAAGGATCTGCCCATCAGTCTCTTGGCAAAGCCACTGAGGAGCATGTCTGCCACCAGTCCACTTGCTTGACTTCTTGCTAGACAAGACTCGATCCATTTCTAAGCTGAAGTCAAAACATGCTTATCAGCAACACTGTCAAACATTCATGCTGATGCCCAAGTACACTAGCAGCCTGTTAGTACTCTCAAACACCTCTAACACCAGAAAATCTTTGCAACATTTTCCCCATTTCAGAGGTCACTCTTGTGCACTTCACTAGCATTATATTGAGAAAAACGCTTACATTCATGCAGGTTTTACAGCTTCAGAACATCTACATGCTTTCAACTCACAGCACCTCATAACATGCTGCCATAAACTTACACAATAAACAAGAAGGTATTCCCCAGGCAGGGCAGGTTTTAAGTCTCTTGTAACTAAAAGGCTTGTTGTAGAATTCTGCATTGACACTACATTACAGGATGAATCCATCAGCAGTTATCTGCTCACAATAAGGTCTTTTGACACTGGGTCATTTCACTTATATCAAACACCTGGATCTATTACTCCATAATCACTGTTCCAGTAGCTGACAGAAGAAGATACATTTTCAATTTCCTTAAACTACTGAAAATAAATCACAACTAAAAGACTGAATAACTACTTTCCCTTTATTTCTGACATTCTTTTGTAAATAACAGCACTAGAAGACCAGATGATCTGGTCAACAACATTACCATGCTTGTGCCTCAGTCTTTGAGAAACGCAAATTAAAACATTTCAGAGAGTTTAGAGGAGTCCCTTGAGAGTTTCAGATATAAAGGTATTTCCTGCATGAGCTGTGCTGATAATGTGTGTATCTCTACACAAAGATAAAAGGGGAAAAATGCAGATACCAGAGATCTAAACATTTCAGGCATGACAATATTATTTGCAGAGGAAAAAAAAAAGTCAAACTTCTGCTGTGAAACAGCTATCCTCAGATCAACTGTATTGTCTGCTCAAACGGCAAGGGCTTATCTATAAAGCCTAATTTGCCTTCTTTATGGACATATTTTTGAACTGCAGAAAAGGCCAGATAATGACAGGACCAAACTCATTCCTGAAAATGCAAAATTTAACTCTGCCAGCAAGAAGTTTCTTTCTTAACACTTACATATTACAATGACAAAATACTTATTCAGACTTGGACTACAAGCTGATTTTTTGTACTTGGAAATGGTGATGCGTGTAATATTTTCTTCTACCACAGCTGTTTCCAAGAACTGTACATCTTCAGTTTCAGATGTACTGCTTTCCTTGTGCTGTACTGTTATGAATATTGCTTGTATAAAAGAAGATAGCGCATCCAAGAATATCAGCTAACCTTGAAATTGATACTAAGCTTTACATCTTCTAAAAGAGACATCAGTTTTGTTTTACAAACCCTCAGATGACCACGTTAAGACAATCGCAGAATCATTTAGGTTGGAAAAGACCTCTAAGACCATCAAGCTCAACTATTAAAATAGCACTGCCAACTCTGCCATGACCCTGAAGACCACATCTACACGTTTTCATTGTCTGCAGTGATGGTGACTCCACTGCTCAGCAGCCTGCTCCAAAGCTTCACAACCCATTCAGTGCAAAAAAGTTTACTGATATTCAAGCCAAACCTCCTTTGGCACAACTTGAAGCCATTTCCTCTTGTCCCAGGCAACAACTGACAGGACATTTACCCTCACCTTGCTGCAACCTCCTCTGAAGCAGCTGTAGAAAGCAAGAAGTCTCACTTAAGTCCCCTTTTCTCTAGGCTAAATAACTTTTGTTCCCTCAGTTGCTCCTCTTAAGACTTGTTCTCTACACCCTTCACCAGCTTAACAGCCCTTATTTTGGATGTGCTCCAGTACCTCAATGTCTTTCTTGTAGTGAGAGGCCCAAAACTGAACACAGTATTCCAAATGCAGCCTGGTCCCACCACAGCTGAGAACAGGGGACACCTCCTTCCTAGCCCTGCTGGCTGTGCTGTTTCTGATACAAGCCAGGACGCCGTTGGTCTTCTTGGCCACCTAAGCATGCTACTGGCTCACCTTCAGCTGGTTGTCAGTCATCATGCCTAGGGCCTTTTCTGCAGGGCAGCTTTTCTGCCACTCCGTACCACCGCACAGGGTTACCACTGAGCCTTCCTGAACCTCACACAGTTTGCCTTGACCCTTCCCATCCAATCTATCCAAGCCCCTCTTACAAGCCTTCCTCCTCTCACCCTCATGCAACACTCCTATCTTTGTGTCACCTGCATACTTACTGAGGGTGCCCTCAAACCCCTTGTTATTAAGGTGCTATAGTACAACTCTATGGTTTTTTACATTTATTTAAAGATTCATTTACTTCTATTTGTTGCAATTATTCATTCTTTCTCTATTCTGATTGCCAATAGGAATTCCTATTTATCTTAAGTCCATAAGAATTGATCACCACATAACACTGTTTTTCAACTGAGCACTTCCCACGTTTTGGTTTACATGAAAGAGCCAGTATCACCTCATACCAACCAGTATCACCTCACACCAACCAGTATCACCAGTAACTTGAGCAACTATATTAATGTACACCAGACTGCCTGAAAAGCAGCTGCTGGAGAGGGAGAAACATTTTCCCCTAGAGCAGGTTGTCCAAAGTCCCAAGAAACCTGGCCTTGAACACTTGCAGGGATGGGGTATTCATAGTTTCTCTAGGCAATTTGTTCCAGAGCCTTGCCATCCTCATAGTGAAAAATTTCTTTGGGATATGTGACCTTAGCTTACCCTCTTTTACTTCAAAGCCATTACCTCACATCTTGTCACTATGTCCCCTAATAAAAATTCCCTTCCCATCTCCCCTGCAGGCCTCCTTCAGGTACTGGAAGCCTTCTCTTCCCAAGACTCAACAACACCAACTCTCTCAGCCTGCCTTCAAGTACAGGTGCTCCAGATCTCTGACCATCTTCACGGCTCTCCTCTAGACTCACTCCATCACATTTTTGTTCATACTCTCAAACATTTTAACACAATGCTGAATTTACCTTGTAAGATTCTGTCCTAGAAGACCTTTCCTAAAACCCCCACAAACTGGTGAAGTCTCATTCTCTTCAATCCTCTATGAAACGTTACTAAGTTGAAGCAGCTTTACACCAAGTTCAACTAACTCAGGTTGACAATGACTTTGTGATATTCTGTTTTCTAAATGCTTCAGGTTCCTGTTTGAACTCACCTACTAGTAACAGAAGCTTCTCTATGGTTTTATATGATTCTGCTTCCTTGCGTGCAAGTTGCCTTGGACACTTCTAAGTTGGAGAGTAACAGCTGCACATTCCAACCTACGTAACACGTCATTATTTCAGAGATTTACATCATGATCTACAAATCACTCACAGCTCCAAAAGACCTCAAAATTCTTCACCGAGATCCTTCTGTTGAAGTCTTAGCTCCTACTTTGAACGTTTTATGAATTTCTTTCATCAATCCTCTAATCATTTTAGGTTTAGCACTACTGCCTTTAATAACAGTTTTGTGTCACCACCACAGACAATAAATCCTAATTCCCTTCATATCTGAGCTCACTTTCAGAGCTTTGATATGCTTCTTATCAGAGAATACCGTAATACAAAATTGAGGGAATCCTTTTTACTTGACTACCAGTGCTTTCGGTCCATTTGCAGGATCACTTTCTTGGCCGTGCTCTGCACTGATTAACTAGTGCTTTTATGCCCAAACTACTTTCATTAGGAGCTCTGACTTTTCCTTCTTCAGCACCTCCATTCCCACTCCCAGTTTATTTCAAAAGTGAAAATTTATAACCGTGCTGAATGAAAACCTAGATTAAAGTCGTTGCAGGCATTTCAGGACACTGAAATTATCATTTAAGTAGTGGAGCACAAAAGGATGATAATTTAGAAAGTCTTTAGAAAGACTGACAAATATGGGGACAAAAGGGTATGTCATGGAAAATACACATACTACTAACAGCAGAGGAAAAAAAACCACTTCCCATTGTACTCCCATAGCAAAAGAAGTATAGAACTTAAGTACAACAGAACACTATAGAACAACAATGCTAATGCTTGAACAGCTTGAATAACAGCTGGATATACTGGATATACATCCATATATATATGGATATATGGATATACATCCATATATGGATATGAATAAACATGGATTTCACTGTGGTCAAGTTGGACTGCGTATGAAAGTTAAGAAACACTCTCCTTGTTTTACAAGAATATGATTTTGTCTTTCAGACACAGAACAAATTAGTTTTCCTTAGCAGTAACTCAAACTCAACCTTAATTTGCTGTTTTTCTTCCTCTGATGCAGCCAACAGAGGCAATGCTCAAAAACAACAGTAGGTCAGGATGTTCTGGGACTCCAGACCAGGCACGACTGTTCTGAAAACTATGCAATTCCCCTGGCTTGATGTTTTTAACACTCCCACTATTTCCACTCCTCACCCCCCTGCCCCTCAAAAAAACACAAAAGAAACCCAACCCCCTACTCTTCCTGTAAGTCTCAGATTCTCATTCTTTATTAAAACTCCTCTGTACACCCCTACAAGAAAGAACGTAACTGGAAGACCATGTTCAGAAACTGCATTTATCATACTGTACCTCAATATACAAGTTTTATTAATCAGTTTCATTACCTGAATTTAATATTTTTGTTAATGAATGAGACAACTGATATACACCTGAACTGCTGCAGCTCCAGCTCTGCTGAAATCAATTTACTCTGTCATGACCAAGTCATATTTGAACACTCAAAAAACTCTCAACTGAAACTTAATTGTTTACACTTAGTATAACCTCAATGAAAATGTAACCAAAAGACTACTTACTTTAATCTACATTCTGAACACGTGCAGCAAATTACATTGATTTTATATTGATTTGACAGAGCAGTGGACTCTGAATAGTTTTCACCAGCTACTGTCATCAGTAAAGAACTACAGGCTAGGTTTTTAGTTTGTTTCTGTTATGTTTCTTTTCCTACTTCTGTGGGACTGAAGGATTCAGAAACAAATAATCAAATACAAACATTCACTGGAAGAAAACAGCACCATGAAAGCGCACACACATTTCAGCACATACATCTATTAGTAGAAGGATCAATTTTCATTTCCACATAGTAAAAAGCTGATGAGAAATTGACGTGATACCTCACTCCCACAGGATATAAGTAACTTAACATGGATCAGAGAATTAATCTGTGCTATGACTTGTGTGATGTACCATCCCGTATCGATGCTTACTAAGCCATATTTATATGACAAACCAATATAATGCCATCGGAAACTATGTCAGAACTATAGCAAAAACTACATGCAGTAAACAAGACTTCTACCTCATCCTCCCAGAGGAATACCTATTGAAGTCAGAATTTAAAAAAAAAAAAAATAAGAAAGAATTATGAAGTCAAGGGATAGAAGTTCTTTGGACACAGTATGCAGTTATTTATATATGCAGACATCTTCTCCGAGGGGAGAATGGGTTAAAATATTAATTTGTACTTACAACTCAGAATATTCATCATATACCTATAGCTATATACATTTTTTAGTGGAAAGCTAAAAGAAACAATTCCAGAAATTACTTCAGAAATGCAAGAGATTGGAATTTAATCATGTTGTGCAGAACAAAACATATACAACTGGACCCTTATTAATAGTAGAAACAACAACTGAATGCACAACATTCCTGCTCCATATCAGATTGAAGAGAATTAGTATCAGCAACTCAGCATGATTTTACTTCACTTATTTCTCAGTACTGGAATCAGTTCTGATACCAAATGAATCTATATGAACGCAGCATATTTTCTAATACCTTTTCCAGTTTCTTAGTTAAAGTACATTTGACTTTTTTTTTTTTTTTAAATAAAGATCACAAAGCTCTTAGAAAGCTTTTTAACAGGTTATCACATAGTATGACATTACCTGACCCAGAGCCTGAAGTTGTCATATCATAAATTAAATCCTTTAAAGTAGTTCCTTCAGATATAAAGGGACGATCCAATGAAGGATCTTCTTCACTTGGCACACGGTGATGAATTACAGTACGGTTATGACAAAGATACAGAATCAGCATCAATGAAATGCAGACAAAGCAGACAGGTCCAGCAATAACAGCTGCCAGTTCCACAGGTCCCAGACTAGAAGCTGGTCTTCCTGGAGTAGGACCTGGTGGTAAACAAATAAGGCAGTTTCACCATTTCCTTCTATGTAACATCATGAAATACATCCAGTTTATTTACTTAATGATATTTGAATTACATTTCCTAAGAACTATCCTTCACAAAGTTACTGCACACACACACACAGAATTACAATGGACAAAAGTAACTACTTTAAAGAACACCCAGAGTTGGAAGGGATCTACAAGGATCTTCAAACCCAACTCATGGCTCCTACATATGACCACCCAAAATTCGAACACTACACGTGAGAGCATTATCCAAACACTTTGTGAACTCCAGCATGCTCTCTGTCAAGATTACTGTGCTGTGAGTGAGCCTGTTCCAGTGTCTGATCATCCTGCAAATTCAGTTTATATTTAACTTGCATGGAAGCCTTTGAAACTGGCCCCACTGTTCCTATCCAGAATAGGAAGGTCTTATTCCAGAACCCTTGAAGTTTTACTTACAGAATCTAGGGTATACCTCAGACCTTCAAGTTCATCAGCAACTTCAAAACTAGAACTCTTTCTAAATTCTCCATTGCTAAAAATAAATAGCAAACACATCAAAAACTATTACCTGGTGTTGGAATTGGAAGTTCTATTTTATTGCAGTGGTCTTTGTCACAGCAATGAGGCAAAGTAGTAACTCCATCTCTGGAGGATGGTGCACAAACAAACGGTCTGTCCCGGGGAATCAGATCGATTTCTGCTATACACATGCTGTTGTGAATGACCCTATCTGCAATCCGCGTTACTGAGGTAAAACAAAGCCCATCTGTCACACAGGTGAAGTTGTCTTTTGTGCATAGATGGCAGTAACACTGTAATGCTGTATTGAGGAAAAAAACAAATGTTAGTCTTGGCACCCATTTGGAATCACAAAGCAACCACAACTACGGAAGAAACTTAATCCTGAAGAAAAATGCTGTGAGGTTTTTTAGTGGGACAACAGAACCAGGAAATACACATGTGAAAGAATGTCAAACACAGTCATCTCTCCTTATGCAACTATGGAGGTAGTCTGCCATGCAAGATGCTTCTCCAGGTAGAGGAATCCCGTTATTTCCCACTCTAAAGTCAGGTATATTTTATAACACTACCTTCTAAAGATAACTGCATGACAAGTGCTCTTTTTCAAGAGCAATACAAACAGTGCCTTTTGTTTTTGTTCTAACAGCCAACAGAGCAGTTTCAGTAACTAAAAAACAGGATGCTGCTGGCTACCTAAGTAGATTAGTACTTTACATTTCACATTATAGCTTTATTTTTCTGATGAGGAAAGAACATATAAATGCTTAACCCTCATTAAAGCAAACAACAAAACCCAAATCCTAAACAACCCCCAAACTACCTAAGAACATATCATTTCACACAAGCAGCATATGACAGATTTTTTTTATGAAAATGCAAGAAAACAATGCATTACCATACTGAAGTTTACTACAGCTATCAAGTGAGCTAGAAATGTGAGGGCAGGGACAATACAGCAGATTAATCACAAGATGTGAAGATCCGGTTTCATTTTTTAAATTGAAAAAATTCCTGGGAAATCTCTTACTACAAACTTCTTTCTCCACTCCTTTCCATATATACAGTGCCAAAGCCAGAAAACAGTGCCATAGAAGTAAAGGTACCAATACACTGACTCTGCTTGTTCATGTGAGTGCAGGAAAAGCTGCATGATGGTCTTGAAACAGAAGTGAGAATATGCTGTTGCAGAAGTGAACAAACACTAGACTGAGGAGGAAAGGAATCACCTGTGCACGCATGCACTGAGCTGTGCTTACTTCTCAACTACAGCTAGCACAGAAACAGCGAGCGCACATGAAGGCCAAAATGCAGGGACTTACACAAATGCCATATCACCAGAGACCACCTCAAAAAATGCATAAACCATAAGCAATTCTCCTTAAAGGGTACAAAAATCTCACATTGAATGGATATTAAAGCGAGTAGAGCAGAAGATGCCCTAAAACACAGTACTTGTTTTTTCACTGCAACTCTGGTTACTTCACTGAGTTTAAGATAACCACTGCCTGAACCGTCTTGGATTTTCCATCTTTCTCTATTCTTGCATAACACTGACTGGACAAAAGAATGTGAAAAGACAATCTGATCTCAAATTCTTGACTCTAAGTCGTACCCCTTCTCTGACATCTTCTGACTGCATGATTTTCAACCAAACCAAGATGCAATATTTTCCATTCTCAAAGAAGCATGGAAATTCTTACTGTTCAGAGTTGAACTATGAAACATTTACCAAAGGCACATCAACAGGAAAATAACTTGATTACACCTCAACAAATTATTTTTTAATCCACTGATTTCTACAACATTCACAAATTAGTATTTCTTTTTTTCCCCATGAGGTTTTCAGAACATAGCTTTATTTAACAACACACAAAGAACCAAAAACTTGCAGGCCTTTATCTGACGTGCTTCATTCAATACTTTCCCTAATTAAACCATCTTCCTGCCTCATCAGAACTGCAGATGCATCTGAATGCCTACAGTAACAGACCTGCAGTGATTTGAGTATTTACACTAGGTCATGGTACAAAGGATAAGTTACACAAAGTGAGAAAACAGACATAATGTTTACCTATCTCCCCGATCAACACAACTTTAAAGATACACTAATCCCACTCACACTGAAGCATTTATTAAGTGGCTCACCCACCTCTGCTTTGTTACAGCTCCCAATGTGATTTTATTCTACAGTTTATACTTTTGTTCCAGATTGACACCATTATCTTTTAGTCTGTTATCAAGACAAGCACACTGTTCACAAAAAGCCATATGGCTTCCTACACAAGCACCATCCACCGCCTCACTGTGCTCACATCCATTTTCTGGTCTCCATGAACATTCAGTAACGTCCATGAATGTCAAAGGGTGCAATGTTTTTCAGCATGGAGGAATTCAATTACCTTTGCTTCATCTGCACCTCCATATCAGTTGCATTTAGTCAGACTGCCCCTCTACTGCTCTCTGTTGCACAGCAACAAAACGCAATGCAATTCTGGTGGAAAGATTCCACCTCAACTGCCATACATTTGCCAGTTGTTTGCAATGCATAATTTTACTATGTAAAAGTTACTTACAACAGTGTGTGCATGCAACAATTAGCACAAAGCCCACAGTGCACATGAGTTGGGAACGTAAATAAGATAGAAACTACACAGCTTGTCAAGAAGAGCTCCATTATTTATATTATGTACAAAACCTGACCAGAAGATAATTAAATATAGCCTGTTTGCTTCAGTTTGAAGAGATTTTTCAAGTATTTGTTGTATTCTTGAAAGTGACAAAATCACATTAAATCTTTACTTTGAAATTACATAAAAGCCTATGAATCACTGTATATTATCTGTTCATGTCCTGCAAAACTATTTCATCCACACAGTTCAGCACAGATCACCTTCAAGCAAAGAACTTCTGCTGAAATTCACATGCTCTTTCAAACCATGCTAACAAAGTATTAAAAAGTAGATAAAGCTTGTGCCTTCACTTTTTAGAGCACATCACATCTCAATGCCAGTTTCATAGTATCCATAGTTTTCTCAAACACCTTTTAGTAATTTCAAAAAGTCAAATCAGTAGACACGAGACTTCAGGCCCCACGAGGAGCATTATACCGAATAAGAAACTCCAGATCCTTCCCGTCACTGTATCATCTCTTCTTCCATAGAAAATACAAGTGACATCTTGTAAAACCACCACCACCCCAACGCAAGTGCTGAGAAGAAAAACTGTACCACCAGAAGAAAAAGAAATCAGCACTCTGGTTCCGTAAGTTGTAACGGCTGTATGGAGAAAGGAGCAAGGCTAAGGTATATCAGAGACAGCAAAAGATCTTGGGGGAGACAACCAAGCGAGCAGCAGCATTTGCTGTTAGCTTCTTCCCCTCTCCAATAAATTCTGCCTGTCAAAAGCAAAAATGTAACTCAGACAAGCGATGCCAGATTCCTATACTCCTATTCATACACTTCCCTCAAACAGTACACTTGACTTATCTCTGAACTCTTTCACGCTGAGCATACGAAACTGTTTAGGTACGATATCTGAAATACAGCTACATTTTTCAACCATGATGCTTCTGGTTGACTGCAAAGCTATTATTCTCACAAAGGCACTAATCAGGTTAAATGCTGTAAGGTGACGGCACTGGTTATCAAGTTATCAGGACAGCTTTTACATGCATGTAAGCAAAGTTTTCAAAGAAAACAACAGTTCTTGGCAACCAGTGATGCACTCAAGCAAGCAGACAAACTACTTCACTGAGGCACCACCTATAACCTGCAGGTAACAATAAAGCCTTACAAAAAATCCTAGCTTCAACGAAGCAGCATTCTGCTCTCTGATGCAGGGAAAGAACAGTAATAGCTGTTAAACAACTCATCCACTCATCCCTCTTACAGCAAAATATATAAAAAGAGTTTAGGCTACCTTCCATAGAAAAGCATGGTTTAGAAAAATCAAAGGCAGTTTAAATTAAAACCTTTATTTACCTTTTAGTTTTACTATATGAAAGAAAGGAAAGCTTTCATTTGTACTGTTAAATATACTTCAGCATACAAATCAGATTTCTGTTCTTATTTAAGGACTAACTGCGTGAATACAAGTTTGCAGCAGGACTGCCGCAGAACTTCTGAAAGATTAAAGACAATTTCGGCTCACTCAGTTGATTCATGTTTTCACAGGCTGCAGATTAGTCATGTTTTCACAGATCAGAACTATCTGAACAGTAGTTCAGCTGGCCATTGTGATTCATGACGTGTCTGATCTTCATCTAAACAACAGGAAAGTATTCACCTGCACAATAACACCAGCGCACTGCAAAACAAAAGCATCACCAAACGCTTAACTTTCGTCAAAGTAGGTCATACGATTTGCCCACTGTTACTTAGCATTCTTATATCATCTTCTTTGCTAACTTAGACCATGGTGAGTGAGCAAATTCATCCCTTCAGCAGCAGGAGAAGGCTTGTGTATGAGCTACGGATAAAGAGCCCTGGAGCTCCTGTTGCCTTGAATAGGACTCGCATCTCTTCCCCCTACCCCTTCCTTTTTTTAAAGCAACAGAACCAAAACAAAGAGAACAAACACTGCCACCTCCAACCTTCGGGTTTTGTATGGAAACTTATTACCTTATTTTCACACGGTCAATGGGAATTCTTGACAGATTAGAAGCATCAAAAGGGAAAAGAATGGTTCAGAACTCAAATCAAGTTAAAATGTCCTTCATCTAGACTGGATGTTACACACAAAAGTTATCAATTATTAAAGCCTGCTGCACCTTTCCTAATACACAAGAAAATAAAACAACGGGTAACTTAAGCTTACTTCACTGTTCCTATATCAAAGGTGCTCCACCTTCTGCAGTACGAATGGTAACAATGCAGCATTTAGTTTAGCAAATTGCTTTGCTTTAAGAAACACTTCCTCTCCTCTATAAGCACCACCTTAAAGCGAGCTGCAGAAACCCCAGACGCCTTAAAGCTTGAATAAAGTTGCGGTGCATCACCCCTTCCTCTGCAAAACCCAACGCAAAACACAATTCATGAGAGGACTCGTTAGAATTCAGGAACTGACTGCAAACAGCAGCTTTTGTACGCGTGTTACCGTCGTCTAATCACGGATTGAAGCGCAGCTCCACAGCGGTGCTCGCAGCCCGCCCCAGCCCGCCACGCCGCCCGCCAGCACCCTCGGGACGCCCGCAGGACTCGCAGGTCGCCCGGTCCGACGACGGCGGCACCCGCGGCAGTAGGCGAGTTTTCCGACAGAGCTCCTCCGCGGTTCTTCCGACACGAGGATCGCTCCGCCGCGCCGAACCCCGGAGTCGCGCCGGGCCGGGCAGAACGGCGGCGGGCGCCTCGCGACAGCGCGGCCACCCCTCCCTCGGATCCGAGGCGCCGCGTTCGGTCGACAAAGGGACGAGCGGGGCGCGGGCCCCGCGGGGCTCGGACGCCGGGGGAGGCGGCGACTCCGCCCTAGCCAGCCCCTCCGCCATGTTGTTGAAAGGAACCGACGTGGACCCGCGGGCCGCCGCCTCCGCCGCCGCTCTCCTCCCCCCGCCCCGGGCGCCGATCGCTCGCTTTCCCCTCCCCCCCACTCCCCCGCTCGCCCGTAGGCACGCGCGCACGCACTCGCTTACCGGCCGCCCCGGGCAGCAGGAGCGCGGCTACCAGCAGGCGCAGCGCGGCCCATGCCCACCGAGCGCCCCGTCCGGCCATGCTCCGTTCCTCAACCCGCACACCCGGCGCGCGCGCTCCCGCGCGACAAATCCGCCCCGCGCCCCCTGCGCCGCACCTCCCCCCTCCCGCCGGAGAGAGAAACATCGACGCGCTCGCGCCTCCCCTCGCGCCGCCGGCGTAACCGCTGCGGGGGCGCTCCCTGATTGGCCGCCCCGCCCCGCTCCGCCCTCGCGGCGGCCGGGGGGCGCCCCGACGACGACGGGAGGCTGCAAAGCGCTGCCTGAGGCCGGTGGCCGGGCGGGGTTACTCGTCGTGGGGCCGGAGCGGGGAACCGCAGTCGCTCCCTCTCTCTCTCTCGGCCGGAGAGAACTCCCGGCGGGAAGCGAGCTTCCCGCACATGCGGAGCCTCGAGCAGCTCCCTTTGCGGGAATCGTCGCCTTTGTGAGAAGGAGCGGCTGGAAGCCACCAAGGCGAGCGACAGAGGCGCCTTCCCGGCTCGGACAGGGCTCCCGAGGGGCCGCGATTAACTCCGTCGGAAGGAGATGCGCGCAGGAGTTGAGCGGCTCGCGGGTTCTTTTAAGAGAGCGGGGAAAAAAAAACAACAACGACGCGTGAGGGATTCCTCTGTGCAGGGTGCGGGTGGGACGCGAAGTGGGAGAGGCTTCATTGCCGTGATGCTTTTCCCGAGCGGCGTCGTGGAGCCGGGAGCAGCTGTAGCACTCAGCGTTCGCTGGTCCGCTCACCTGGCGGACCTACGAGACGGCTTCGCGTTTGTTTGTGCTACTAGTTCTGCGGCCTGTTAGCAGTTCAGAAGGAAAGCGTGGGTCTCCCTGAAGGACGGAGTCTTAGAGTAGAGCCCGCACACATGGTTTCTTTGTGGAAATAAAGCAGTGCTGGTGGCTGTGTGCAGCTCCATTGCTATTTCGCAGTCTGTTTGCTCACCCCGTGTAAGTGCAGGAATTATTTGGGAGTCAGAAGCAAACCTGCGTGGTCCAACAAACTGTCCGAAATTCTGGTTAAAAGCTGTGGCAGCTAGGATGTGCCTGGAGTTGTTGCTTTTATCCCCAGCTTTACTAGCTGGGGATATTTATTATGTGATGGGAAAAGAGACAGACCCACTTCGTCCCTTCTTCTGATCACATAACCACTGTCTCGGTGGTTGCCTGCTCCCTCTGGAAGTTTACCTTCTCCTGCCTCCTTGGTGCCCTGGCTCCTGCACCCAGCTTTGTGTTCAGATCCCGAATCATTGCAAGGTCTTACAATTCAATAGAAGTTTTTATACTACCTTTTGTTGCTAGGCTCTCTTGCTGTGTAACATAGGACGAGCCAACACAGGTCACAGGTGCTTTTTTACTTGCTTCCTGTAGTCACTGTTTTTGACAAATTTTTGCAAGCTTTATGTACTGTCTCTGCCAGGTGATGGCTTGCCAGGTCAGTGTTCTGGACAAAAACTTACACACTCTTCAGAATCACACTCAATTCCACATCACAGCAATCTGCTTTCTCCTTCCTATTTGCAGTTCTGCCAACAGATCCATTGTAAAAAGTCTTATTTCTCCTGCAGTACAGTTCACCTGGATAAAAATCCTGATAATGTAATGGTTCAAAGTGAACTAATTGTTAATTCAGTCTTTTTCCCTTTCTCTTCCAGCAATGATCACTGTTACATACAAACAGAACCTACTTGATTTTTCTCTCTCAAATACAGTTTCAGTGACAGTATGTTAGACTGAACATCTGGATTCAATACAAACACATGCTGTAAGGAGTTACTGAAGTTGACATCACCACGCAAGCATGTTCTTAGTTATCCATATATAGAAATGTGCAAGGGATTAATCCTAGTAATATGCTAGCAGCAGTAAGAAATACTGAGGCATCTTTTAAAATCATAAAACACTAAAACTATAGCTTAAGGAAGTTATGTTATACTTGGAAAAGCACCCACTATTGGCTTTGTTACCACAGGCCATCTGAATTACGTGTGGACCACAAAAAATCTTTCTGAAGGAAAACAGAACAGGAAACAATGAGTAAGTGAAGGATCTCTTTCAGGTCTTCCAGTTCAGTCTTAGGGAAAACAGTGAGTTGGCATCCTGAGCAGTGTTTGGCTAGGTCAGTAGCTTGCATTTGACAGCTCACCAAGATGGTTTCACGTCACTTTCAAGTGATGATCACTCCCAGCACAAATTATTTTCAACAGGCCTTACTGTTCTTTCATAACACACACTATGTAAAGACCTATACCCATGAAATATCTGCAGTCAAGTCACACTCTGTCCTGATTCTTAGCTAACCAGCTGTAACCTTGGGTACCGTGTCAGACTGAAGAGCCAAAGTAAGCCCAGTGCAGAAGCAGCAACTATGAAGCTACCTAAGTTCAATTTGTGGATATAGAAAAATAGTAATAGCTCCTTTTCCTGCCAAGGGCCTCTTGACCTTAAAAGAGTTCTGGTAGAGGATCAGATCTTGTTCGTGTGGGAAGGTCACTGACCATGAAGATCAGTCCCTCTTTTTCTTGTTAGATTGATCCCTGTGTTCTTCTGTCATCTTTCTTCTACTACTACTTCTGTACACAGCTAGCCTTTTATATTATTTGTGTTCTGATTCCTTTGTATGAGCATCACTGCCTCTAGCGCAGTGAAGGTGGTCTAGGTAGGACCTTTTTGCTGTACAAGATTGGAGCAGTTAGGAAAAGAAAAAAAAGCAAAATACAAATGAAAGCTTGAGAAATTTAAACGATCAGGATGGCTCCATTGGGATTGATCTGTTCAGGTCATCCAAAGTTGTTAAACCTATTTTTAAGACTTGCTTACTGAATTGAGTAAATCAAGTAGTTATACAGGGAATATCTGCAAATTAAACACAGGATTATTTTTTGCCTCTACTAGTATGTGGTATTTAGACACGTTATGCAAAATAAACAGCACCCACAGGGAGATAGTACTAGTTTCATTTCTGTCAAGAATTATTAAGGTGGAAAGTGAAATAGTTGAGATTATATGAAAGGTGCTGTAATGCAAAAAAAAAAACAAACACCCCAAAACACTAAGGATCTACGTAGAACATTAAAATATAACTAGTTTTTAAAAGGGACAAATAATAGAAAATAGTACAAAAATTGTTCTATGAAGTGATCTGTGATTAAACCCACCGTGCACATGCATTAACATGCTACCTGATCCAGCAGGAGCTGGAATAAAGGATGTGGGTAAATATGTTGCATTGTTTGTTAGTCTTGTACACCTTGGTAGTAGTTATCAGTTGTATCTCCATAACAGGACCCTTTATTTCTCACAGGTCTGAAACTTACATAAACAGGTATTGCTGTTTGTCCCATGAATATCAGATAAGTATGTTCACTGCAGGCTTTTTGTTGAGTGAAAACTCCAGTTAGCCCTGAAGCCAGACAAAATGGTTAAGTACCTGTTAGTGTAATTAAACCTTTGTGTTCCCAGAGTAGTGATTGGAACATATTGTCCCCAGCTACATACCGCAAATCCAGTGACATGAGCCAGAACCATGCCAGGGAGTAATTCAGCAATCAGCAATGCCATTTGTGCTAATGCTTGTACCCTGGCTCTGATAATTTTCTAGTATGAATGTAGCCTCAGAGACTGAATTAGCTTCGGTTAAGACCTTGTGGCCTGAAAAGTTAAAATACAATACTAAAGCAGAGCTAAACATCAATGAACTGTTTTTCTGAGGTTTACATGATTAACATGTTAGGGATCCTTGTGAATGTTTAGAGACAAGGCTGAACAAAACTACTGAGGGGTGGTAGCAGTACCAACCAGTGGAGAAACAGTTGTATACAGGTGTTTCTGCCGTTCTTATGAACACACTTGTTGTTCTGCAGAGCAGGATGTAAAACACCTTTTCTGAAGAAGCATTATTGTCATCAGCTTGGCTTGAATTGAACTTGCTTGTGATCTTGTCCTTCCTCTAAGGTCAGGCAGGGCTATCGCACTCTTTTCTGTGAAACCATCACTAGTTCTGGTACTGAGACCAGCTCAAGAGAACAGATTATAATATTACTCCTGATCAGTGCTAAGGCATGATGATGAACTCACTTCTCACATAGAAATTCCCACAGCTTGTGTTGTCTATTATGTGCACTGAGCTTGAAAGTGATACAGTACTTTGCAAGAGCATACAGGAATTCATACATTCATTTCTTTGTAAGGGGAACAGAAGGAGTTGTTCCTTGTTGGACCTCTCTAAACTCCTTATCAAGCTACTTCTGCACACCCAGCAAAATGCATACAAATTGAAGTTGGTCTTCAGGGGGGTGCTGTGTAAAATAGGATGCAGCAGATGTAACGTGAAAGGTAGAACCTTTGTGTGCAGCATGCTGTACCATTGCAGCTGACAGCTCTGAAAGGTGTTGAGCTTTTCTGTGGAAGAACAACAGCAGCTTTAGATAAAAATAAATGGTAGGAGAAGAATTGAAGAAAGAAGTCAATCACAAGATGGGATAAAGGACAAAAAGTCTCATTCAATTTCTCTCCTGCCCATAGAGGATGAAGATGTGTTCTGACTTAAGTTTTCTCTCCCCCTGGCAAAGACTAGTACAGCCAGAGCTGAGCCATCCACTTTGGGCGCACTTTCAAGTTAGGCTGTGTACACATGACCATGACCATTACTTATGAGTAGAACAGGTTTTCTGTTTTGTTTTTAGTTACAAATAAAACGGAAGAGGATCTGGCAAGTAAAAGGTCGGAACCACTGGTAATAGTGGAATCTGCACTAAGTTACAAAATAGACCTTTTAAGTGAACAAGTATTGACCCTCAGGCAGGTTAACAAAGGGAGGGCTAAATTCAGATGAAAGCTGAGTTGGAAAATGATTGCTCATCTGGAAATATATCTGTCTCTAGCCAATTGCTGCAGAAGCATTATGGACAGGCAGCAGAGAGGAACTGTTATAACATAGGCTCTAACTAGATATCTGACCATCAAATAACAGCCAAACCCTAAACTGATGTGGGTTTTTTTGTTGTTGTTGTTTGTTTGTTTTGTTTTTAATAAGATATGTGCTTACCATTAACTGTGATATTTGAACTCCAAAGTGAAATTGAAATTCTGTCATCCAATTCCTTTAAAATCTAGAAGACAGGTTCTCTTCTCTGGGCAGACGAGAGAAAAAAGCAAAACTTGGAAGACTACCTAAACCGAGGTACAGAAGCAGAATATCTGCAGTATCCTTGAAGAACAGCACACTGCAACACATTCTTTTTTTTTTTCCCCAGTTGAATACATAGCTCAAAAACAAAACCACATGCTCTTGGACTGCATCTAGGCTAATTCTGTTAGATGTCAATCCTTTGAAATGTGTGTGTTGCACTTCAAAAACTCACAGCTTTGGCTTGCATATTGTAGCAATCGAAGGAGAAACTGCTCATCTCACTGTAGTTCATCCAGGCAAAGCAGTGCTCTACTGATCAGAGATGACATGTCATGTTTTGTGACATTCTATAGAAAAGGTCCTTAAACTCAATAGGTCATAAGGTCTCCTGATACCTCCTCTAACAAAGTGGGCCAGAACAGGACTATGGAATGTCAGCAGCAAGTGAGCTAAGGAAGAAAACTAATTTACTAAATATGACAGAGGAATGCAAGATAACACAATATAATACAACATAATTGGAATTGAAACTAATAAATCAAATAAATGACAGAGAAAGCATCTAAAACTGAAGGCCTTACTCTAATGCTGTAGGTGAGATGGCTAGGAAGCACACACTGCAGAGACGAGCAGAAAAAGAGCAGTCTCATGACTCCCAGTTAGTTTTATCTTTTCCTGCTGAATGGAAAACAGAAACGGAACAATGAAGTCTTCTGGAAGCTGTAGTTTGTTCTTTCTCTTCCAAGACCAGAGCTGCAGCACTGACTCTTTAACTCCCAGTGCACTGCTTAATGTTATGGTGTGGGATGCCAATAGCAACAAAGCCATTACACCTTTCAGTAGGGCTCTGGTGCTAGTCTTGATGATATATTCATTTGCTTTAAACACAGTTGCTTACCAGAATTAGCAAATCTTCCTCAAGTGTTCTTCACCTTTGTGTTGAACTTCAAGGGTATGCAGTTTTAATAGAAACTAATTTATTTTTAAGTACTGGGTCAAATTTGTCTGTCATACACTTGAGAAACATTACTATTTCTCTGTGGTTATACCAGGAAGCATAAACAACCTCATTGGCTCTGATTGCAGTGACAGAGACAGATTTTTTGAAGAGAAACCTCAGCTTCCTAACAGGTCTCTCCTATTGATTCCAGCTAGCTGCCTAGCAGGCATTTAAACACAGTGAGTGTACTTGGCATTGGGACAGCATGGGTAATACACAGTTCATGCATTAAGTTCATGTATTAAGTTGAAGAATGTACAATAGATTCTTATAGCCTGTCAATTAATGTTAGAGGGGGGAAGCAACTGTTAAGGCTTCCCTAGCACCTCACTGATGGTGTCTGACTATCTCAGTTCCCTGCTAAGCTCTATTAGCTATCCGGGATACAGAGAGAAATTAGTTCCATGAATGACTGATGGAAGCAGAATTCAGCATGTATTTATTCTGGGGACCTCCTCCTTTAGGCACTTCTCTGTGATTTCACCTCTCACCTTCCCCCCCCCCCCCGCCATACACCTCCCACATACACACACCATTACAATTCTAGGCAAGGAATACCCAACTCCCTATGACTGTTGGCTCAAGTTGAGTGGAAGCATAAGAACTGACTTGAACTATCGGGGGTAGGGTTAGAGTTAGGGCTTGGGTTAGGGTAATTATTAATTAGTAATAATTACTGGCTGCAATCATAAATACTCACTATCCTGACTTGGAGAAGCTGAGATCTGCTTGGAAAGCAATTTATTTTCCTCCTTGACTCAGAATCAAACCCTTCTGTACATCTTCCAAGTTTTCAAACTGAAGGAATTTTCCATTTCTCAAGAATGCTCAGCATTTTAGGGGAAGAGATAGACTATAAATGAATGAAATTAGTTGTTATGCATACATTTAAGGTGTAATATAAACTTTTTTTGTCTCATTAACATGTAATAATGAAAATATTGTCTTTTCAAAGAAAAAAGAAGATATGATTCGGCTGATTTTATATGCTTTTATAGTAAATTAAAGAAATAAGGCTGGATTTCACATTTTTCTGTTACATAATAATTAGATCAGTTTAGTATAGTAAATATGATTTGGCTTCTCTTGTCTTTTGAAAGTAGCTGTCTAATAATTTAGTAGTCTACTTGTCAGCAATTTGGTGTTTCCATCCTAATCTCCCGGTTAAATCTTTAAAAATGATAATGTGATGCTTGACTACCATAGTTACTGCCAGATAAAAAAAACAAGTAAATGCTTTTTTTTAAAGTACATAGTAGGCAAATATTTAGGCAAGAGACTTAAGATATTATGGTGATAATGCTTGTGAGGAATAATAACATTTAATGGCTGTTCCTGTCACTGATGCTGTGATTTTATATTAATCTTTCACTGTCTGAATGCCAGAGGAGTAAATTGAGTAGAAGGAAAATTATGTATAACATAGTAAGATAACAGTGCGTAGAACCTATTGTAGAGAGACCATGACAGATATTTTTCATTCAGCCATGTTTGGCACAACAGGAAATGACTTCCTCTAACACTAAATTAAATAAATAAAGGTCAGATGGCTTGTTTATCTGCATTTATGTGCACATTTCTGCCAGTTAAAACAGGATGTTTTCTATTAACATTGCTCCAGATTTCCTGATAACAATAGCACCAAAATAAGGACCACATTTTGTCTAGGTTCAGTCCTGCTGCATAAAACATTATGTCTAGAATCTATGATGAAAAAAGTAGAAGTAAGATGTCAGGTTGCTAAATTCATGTGTAAGCACCAGGATGAAATCTGTGAAATATTTTGGAAGTTAGGTATTTAGGTATTAGTATTGAGTCTCCATTGAGACTCCAAAGAGTCAAGCCCCTTTGTTCTTAAAGCTTTTTGAGGAGTCCATCCCTGTAAAATTTAACAGCATCCTCTTATTTGCTCAGTACACATGGGGCAGTATGTATACACACATGTATCAAACAGAGGAGGCAGGAAACCAGCAAAGCTAAACAAGGACCTGCAAGTCAAACTGATGAATAAGAAGGAAAAGTACAAGCAGTGGAAGCAGGGACATACTGCCTGTGAAGAGTACAGGGATGCTGTCTGAATGTGCAGAGATGGGATCAGGAAAGCCAAGGCACACATGGAACTGAAGTTGATGAGGGATGCAAAGAATATCAAGAAGAAATTCTACAGGTATATTGGTCAGAAGACACAGGCCAAAGAGAATGTACCCTCTCTGATAAATCAGAAATAAGAACTGGCTACAAAAAGCATGAAGAAGGTCAAGTACTCAAGAAGTTCTTTGCATCAGTCTTCACTAACAGTCAGGCTTCCCAAATCTCTCAAGTCCTGGAACCTTTAGGTGGGAGTAGGAGGAACAAAATAAGAGAAGAGCAAGTTTAAGACCACTTGATACTGAATGTGTACAACAAGTCAATGGGGCCTGATGACATGCAACCCAAGGTCCTGAAGGAACTGTCTGATGTGGTTGCAAAGCTACTCTGCATCATATTCAGAAAGTCATGGCTGTCAAGTAAAGTCCTTGGTGATTTGAAAAAGGGAAACATCACACCCATTTTTAAGGAAAAACGAAAGTACAGGCCAGTGAGCCTCACCTCAGTGCCAGGGAATATCATGAAACAGATCGTCCTTGGAAGTATGTTAAGGCACATGCAAGATGAGGATGTGATCTGAGACAGCTGGCATGGCTTCACCAAGAGCAGATTGTGCTTGATCAATCTGGTGGCCACCTAGGAAGGAGCAATGGCATCAGAGGACAAAGGAAGAGCAACTGGTGTCATGTACCTTGGTTTCTGCAAGACCACATCCTTATCTCTAACTTGGAGAGATAAGGATTTGAAGAGTGAATAAGGAATTGGCTGTATAATCACAGTCAGAGGATTGCATTCAGCAGCTCTGTGTCCAGGTGGAGGCCTGTGATGAGTGGTGTCCTCAGCAGTCCAAGTTGAGACTGGTGCCCTTCAACATCTTTATCAAAGATGTACAGTGAGATCAAGTGCACCCTCAGCAAGTTTTGAGGATGGCATGAAACCAAAATGGATACCATCCAAAAGGACCTTAACAAGCTCAAGAAGTAGGCCCATATGAACCTAGTGAGATTCAGTGAGGCTAAGCGCAAGGTATTCTACTTGGGTTGGGACAGTCTTAGATATGAGTACAGACTGGGAGAAGAACTCATTGAGAGCAGCCCTGCAGAGAAGGATTAGCGGTCCTCATGGCCAAAAAGCTTGAAATGAGCCAGCAGTATGTTCTTGCAGCCTGGGCTGCATCAAAAGAAGGATGGCCAGCAGGGTGGGAGAGGAGATTGTTCCCTTCTACTCTTCCGTTGTGAGGTCCCACGTGGAATACTGCCTCCAGGTCTGGCATCCCCAGCTCAAGAATGATGCAGAGCAGTTGGAGTAGGTCCAGAGGAGAGCCACAAAGATGATCAGGGAGCTGGAGCACCTCTCCAATGAAGAAAGGTTGAAGGAGCCTTGCTTATTCAGCCTGGAGAACAGAAGGCTCACGGTAAACCTTATGGTGGCTTTCCAGTGCTTAAAAGTAGCTTATAATCAGAAGGGAGAACAACTTTATACTTGGTTAGGTAGTGATAGAGCAAAAGGGAATGACTAAAATAAAGGAGATTTAGATTAGATATTAAAAGGATTATTGTTATTATTAATGAGAGGGTGGTGAGGCACTGGAACAGCTTGCCCAGAGAAGCTGTGGAATGGAAGTGTTGACTTCCACTCCCTGGAAGTGATGAAGGCCAGGTTGATTGGGTCCCTGGGCAACCCGATCTAGTGGTTGACAAGCACGCCCATGTGAAGTCGCTTCCAATTCAAGCCATTCTATGATATATTTGAATAGTGCCTCGGATATTCAAAATCTATACAAGTAAAAAGAAGACTTAACTGCAAAGAAACAGCAGCCATGAAGGCAGGCTACTGAATCTTCCTTGTAGCCCACACTTGACTAGTGACCTTCACGAATCTTCAACTCAGAAAGACAAGAGGCTGTGAGAGAAATGTTGGCATACCTTGAACCATACGAAGGTTGAGTGGAAAGAAAAGCTTTAAGTGTGCCTCATGAACACTGAATGTTCCACCCAACTGGAATATGGTTTGTGTTGAGGTATGTTTTCTTTGGCTATTTTTTCCTGAAATGTGCAATTACAAAAAATAAAATATTTACATCATTGGAAATGAAACTTCTGTGTCAGCTTTTTCTGTCATAACATAGAATATTATGTGCAACAGATGAGTTATTTTCCCTGGGGATCAGATACAAAACTGTTTTCAATACAGAGAACAATAAACTGATTATTACAGCTATATGCTTTCTGATCAAGAAGTTTTCCCATTTTCAGTGGTGATGCTTGTCCCATAGCTGCCAAATCAGCTGTGTGCCAGGCTTCACAGTAGTTGCTGACCATTCGGATCCCATTTGTAGTTGAACCATGCCATATTATTTTTTGAGGCCTGAAAAGTGATGTTAAAAAGTTATTTGCTGAAAAAAATCAATTTTAATATACACATATTTTAATTTAACTGCATGCCTACATATAGTGACCTTGTTCTGTTCATACTATGTAACCATTATTTTTTATTCTCCTTCTGCTTGAAGCAAAGAGTGAGTGTGAAAAGATGAAGACAGAATGCAAAGAAGGAAAAGGAGAACACAATCTGATATCTCAGTTGTAGCCTGTCTGAAACGGAGAAGAAAGATTGCAGAAGAAAAGGGAGAATTTTTTACCACATTTTAAGTAACTCAATGTATTGCCACTTGTACTATCTGGTAAAAATAAATGTCATGTAAAATTCAAAAGATAGTAATATAAACTCACCAGAATGGATCTGTCATGACGTTCCTACCATCAAAGGAGTATATTGGAACGTGAATGTTGAATTGTCCACCATTTCCATTAAATATAGATTCCCAGTTGTTGAAAAGTGTTTCTCCCTGTTAAAATTTCAGTGCAATTTTTACAAACAAAATACATCTGAAAACTGCATCACACCTCATTTTTATAAGACTCCTCTGTAAATCTAAAATCTTATTTTCTTTTAAAAACACTTCGGATTCTAGCTTTCACATCTCAGATTCTGCATGTTGCTCCTGAATGAACTCATCTATCATCTGTGTGCAAAGACCTCTCTGATCCACACCTTTGCCTTATAGTTTCATTTCTGCCCTATTGTCACTCCAGATATTGTCACTCCAGATATGTCACATCTCCCACAGGGCCTTCTCTATTCTCAAACAACAAATCCAGGAGGGCTCCTTTTTCCAGTCACTGGGGACTTTACCAGACAGCCATGATTTTTCAGATATGATGGAGAGGAGCTCAACAACCACATCAGCCATCTCTTTCAGAATGCTAGTATGGATATCATCCAGCCCCACGGACTTAAATACACTCATTTTCATGAGGAGGTCTCACACTTGTTCTATTGTTACAGTAAGAAGGAATCTGCTCCTCTCACCCACACCTTCAGGGTCCTGGCAGACATGGGAAGGAGCCTGACCACCAGTCAGGCTGAGGCAAAGCACTTATTGAGCACCCCAGCTTTTTCCATGTCTGAGGAAGCCAATACTCTGCCCTCATTTGTAAGAGGGGGAACACTCTCCTTGATCTGTCTCCTCCTGCTTATGTACCTGTAGAACCCCTTCTTGTTATTTTTCACATCCATCTCCAAGTTCAACTCTATCTGTGCCTTGGCTTTTCTGATCTTACTTCTATACATGCAGACAACATCTCTATTTTCTTTCCAGGCTACACAACCCTGCTTCCACTTCCTGTACATGTCTCTCTTTTCCCTCAGTTCAAGCTGCAGGTACTTGCTTAGCCATGCTGGTCATCCACCTCCTCTGCTCAATTTCTTCTGCTGTTGCATACTTCTTCAAGAGCTGTTGCGCCCTTGGTTCATCCCATTTATTCCTCATACTGCATGCACTGGTATACAAGCATTTCCAATGCGCTCCCTGGAGTGGCATAGATGCCTCCATTAACCTTGCCACCCTCACACAGTTATGTACCATCTCTTGGCTTGACCTCAGTGTTCCTAATGGTTTCCTCTTCCCTCACTGATCCTAGTTTAAAGCTCTCTCAGCCAGTCTTGCCACGCTTGGGGCCAACAAATGTTTCCCCCTTTAAGAGGTTTATTCCATCAGGCCTCAGCAAAAGACACCAAGTGTGTTTCGTGACAATGAAATCCAAAATTCTGTTGGAGGCATCATTCTTGGAGCCCGGCACGGATGACCTGCACTTGCCTGTTTCTTTTCCAGTCTCTCTCCATTAATGGGACAATTGAGGAATACATTTATCTCTCTTCCTGAGTCCTTTAGCCACCTCCCAGGGCCCTGAAATCTCTTTTGATACACCTCTGGCTTCTTGATTTGACATTGTCGGTACCCACATGAAACATGAGAAATGGGTAATGATCTGAAGGCTGCTGATAATCCTTCTGTTTACCATCCCTGATCTGAACCCCAGGGAGGCAGCAAACTTTCCTGTGAAGAGAATTTGGTCCCTTGGAGGAGGTAGATAGTCACCCATATTCATCTATTCAGCATTTCCAATCATCATGAGTTATTTCTTTTGGTTTATTTGTCTGTTCTTCTCTGGGAGCCACCCAATACCGCAAAGACGTGGTTTGTTTTCCTCAGTTTTAGAATATGTGTGTTTATGTGAGATCACAATTTGACTCATGTTGCAGACTTCTCCTCAGTCTTTCTCCCCAGGTTCATGGGGGTAAATCTAGAATCACTCCTAAGCATAGAATTTGCTTTTATCTTAAGAAATGAGAAGAATAGTCATTTTAGTCTACTGTGCTCTGTAGTCATACTAGAAATTAGAACATAAAAACTACATTTGAGACCAAAAAAAAAAAAAAAAAAAAAAAAGCACTTTTCTGTGTTGATCTAAAACACATCCAGAACATGGAGCACCATGCTGTTGCTTTGTCAGCAGTCTACCTGAAGTAAGCCATTCTCACAGATTTATTTCTCCCACATGCTTTCTGACATTGAAAAAAGTAACCCATGGTAATGCAAAGGAAATGTGAGCCTGTAACTTCATCATTACATTTTTCATCTTGGAGCCTGACTCCAAAATATGAAGCAAAACTTTATAAAATGCAGCTTGTGTTGAAACTTGAGTGATTTGCTATTTTCCAAGATTTTGGGGCACCCAGAACTTAACATAATCTAGCAAGTACTAAGCACTTGTTTTTACCTTAAGATTGACTACTGGCAAATTGTATCGGTCTGTTTTTCTGACAACCGTGACCAGATCTTGCAAATGTGATGAGAGAAAGGCCCTATAGGTAGTCATCAAACCTGCTTGCTGGGCCTGTTGGAAACAGTGAAAATCTGCTCTCATGTCACCAGAAAATGGTAAGTTTAAAGCCACCAGGTGCAGCTGGGGAAAAGAGAAGAAAACCACAATTTTAGAAGAAGTTTATAACATGAAATATTTGAAGAAAACTAGGCCCCACCCCTTGCTCGCACAACATATAGTACCTTCCATACCATATCAAAGTTATTTGCCATCATAAGTTTGCATTTCTTAAATCTGTGCAGTATATAATAATATACTTATTTATTTTTGAACAGCTGGGAAACAGCAAAGATTATCTATATGCTCCTAAAAAATAGAATTTTTAAAAGTAGCTGGTATTTTTAAACAACAATCTTGGAGTTATCACACAAATAAAATCCCAAATCACAGAGGCCTGGAAACAAATAGTAAGAGGTGACCATTCAAAAATTGACTGTTACCAAATACAAGTGGTAACAGACTCGAATCAAAGGGTACAAATGCAAGAACTAGTCAGTATTTTTGTTTTTACGTGTAATCCTTATTTTACTTTCCTTGACAAATATTTAAAGTATTTTAAATGAAAGCTTATATTCTAAAATATCTATTTAAAAACAAGCAGCATCATAAAGACAGAAAAAATTTGAACTAATATTTTAGCGATTTAATTGTGACACAATTACTAGCTTAAAAATTAATGTGTTGCAGTTTTCTTGGTACAATCACCAAGTGAAGACCTATTCCTAACTCAAAATCTGTTGGTTTTTTTGCTTTTTTTTTTGTTTGTTTGTTTGTTTTTCAGATATGAAAGAAGCCAGGGAGATTAAAGTAGACCAGGAAACCATCTAAAATTTTCTGAGATATCTAAACCAATTTTTAAAAAGGCATTTTAACTTTCTAAAGCAAAATCTGCGAACCTGAAGATGAAATATTACACATCTCCCTAAGCACACAAATTATATTGCTTCAAAACACAGCACACAATTGCAATACAGAACTCATACTTACTGCTGGTTTTCTGTTGTTCATGTTTGATATCGGATTCGGGACCGGAAGAGACTGAAATCCCTGTTATTTTAACACATGCAGATATACACGTTAAACATGCCACTCAGAGCAGAATTTTAGGCATTCAGTGATATTCTAAATAAAGCAAACATTGAACACTGGAGAGTCTGGAGTTGTCCTGTCTCAGAAAAATAAACCCAAATCGTGTATCCACGTACACTTTGTGTATCACAAATTTAGTCTGTCACTTAAATATGTGTTTGAATGAATGCTGTCTCAGCACCCTGATTTCAGCTTCAACAGAGTTGTTTTAGTCCACAGTGTTTGGTATGATGCTATGTTTTGGCTTTAGGGAAGAACAATGTTCGTAAAACAGCAATGTTTTTGTTCTTGCTCAACGGTGCTGTACAAAACCAAGGACGTTTCAGTTTTCTCACCTTCTTGTGCTGTCCTGCCAGCAAGAGGGCTGGGGGACACAAGGAGCAAGGAAGGGACAGAAGCAGGACACCTGTCCTAAAGTGCCAAAGGGATAATCCATACGTATGAAATCATGCGAGGAAAACATTGAACTGAGGGGAGTTGGCTGGAGGGCTTCTACTGCTCGAGGGCAGGCTGTTCATCAGTCAGCATGTTGTGAGCAATTCCACTGTGAATTACTTGTTTTGTGAGTATATGTATTATAATTATTACTGTTATTTCTCTCTCTTTTCTATCTTAGTAACTAGTTTTTATCTCAACTTGTGAGTTCCACTTTTTTTTATTATCTCTCCCATCCCACTTGGACAATGTGCAGTGAGAGAAAGGCTGTGTGGTGTTAGCTGCCTCCTGGGTTAAAGCACAACACCCAGCCAGTATTGCCTTTCTAGCCTTCTCTTGCCCTTTCATTATTGCAGCAGTCAGATCAATTAATCTGCCTACGTTTCAACAAGCTGTATAAAGATGATGAAGATGTATCATGAATAAAGGGCTATAAACTTATACAGAAAGCCTTCTTTTCAGAGGTACTTTTCTGAAATTCCTTGGCAGGAACCACAGCTTGATACAACTGACTTCAGTGTTATGAAACAGAACACTGATTTTCTTTTTTAGTAGGCAGTCTTCTTTGTCCTGCTTTTTATAGAGGATGCTTTGTCTCTGTCATGTTTGGATTTGCAGAATATAATGTAAAAATCTAATGGCTGGCCAGCATGAACTAGTTTGCAAGCTTGTTTAGTGGTATTTTGAAATGACAGCTCTCAGTAGAAGATCGTGTTATGCAGGAGCCTGCAACTTCTGCCAAGTGTATCACCTGTTTTCACACATTTAGACTCAGTTTTTCACAGTCCAATATTTTATACTTACATAACTTGATACAGCTGGAGGAGGAAGGCTCTCATCAGGGACAGGAATTAGCTCACTTAGCTGATAGAACACAAAAGGAAAAACAAAGCAAAAAGTATCAGTAGTAGCTGCTGAACTAAAAAAAAAAAATAGAATCTTTCCATACATACTTCTCCATCCCTGTAAAAATATCCACAATTCTATTTTGAGTAAGAGAGCTGGAAAGGATAGGACATAGTGCAATAGTACCTGCAATTTTCTCCATCCATTTCGAACACGGATAAAAACATCGCTGGTTTCTCTAAGATAGATTAGTGTACCTTCTGTTACCAAATGAACCTTTTCCAACATACTGTCAATGTTTTGAAATGTTGTAACCTGCCAAACAGCAAAACAAACATTTTGCAAGTTAAATATAATTACATCATTAAATATATCATTATATATATCTATATCTATATATATTATATATCAATATATATATATCATTAAATATAATTACATCATTTCATACAAAAAACTTCAATAACAGAGACACACTTTGGCATATTGACATCGTCATTCTGTTGATTTGAACAGAACTATACCAGTAGTCCAACAAGGACAAGTGAAAGGTCCTGCACGTGGGTCAGGGCAATCCCAAGCACTGATACAGACTGGGCAGAGAATGGCTTGAGAGCAACTCAAGGAGAAGGATTTGGGGGTGTTCATTGATGAGACATTCAACATAGGCTGGCAGTGTGTGTTTGCAGCCCAGAATGCCAATTGCATACCGGGTTGCATCAAGGGAAGCATGACCTGAAGGTCAAGGAATTTATTCTACCCTTTTACTCTGCTCATGTGAGTCCCCATCTGGAGTATTGCATCCAGTTCTGGGGCCCTCAACACAAGAAGGACATGGAGCTGTTGGAGCAGGTTCAGATGAGGCCACAGAGATGATCAGAGAGCTGGAGCAGCTCCCCTGTAAGTATATATGAGAGAGCTTGTGATCTTCAGCCTGGAGAAGAGAAGGCTCTGGAGGGACCTTATAGTGGCCTTCCAGTACCTAAAGGGGGCCTACAGGAAAGCTGGGGAGTAACTTTTTGTAAGAGCATGTAGCAACAGATGAGGGGAAATGGTTTTAAACTGGAAGGAGGTAGGTTTAGACTAGCTATTAGGAAGAAATTCTTTACTGTGAGGCTGGTGAGACACTGGAACAGGTTGCCCAGAGAGGTTGTGAATGCCCCCACCCTGGAAGCATTTCAAGGCCAGACTGGATGGGACTTTGGTCTAGCAGGAGGTGCCTCTGCCTATAGCAGGGGGATTGGAACTAGATGATCTTACAGGTCCCTTCCAACCCAAACCATGCTATGATTCTATGAATAGGACAAGAGGAAGCAGTTTGGAGTTGCATGAGGGGAGACTTAGTTTGGATATTAGGAATTTTTTTTTCACTTAAACAAGTTGCGAATCTTTGGAATAGGTTGCCTAACAATGTTTCATCCCTGAAAGTATTGAGAAGATGTGTAGATGTGCTCCTTAGGGATGTGTTTTAATGATAGACTTGGCAGTGCTAGGTAAATGCTTGGAATTGGTGATTTAGAAGTCTTTTCCATCCTACATGATTGCCTGATTCTATTAATGCTTTATGAATCATGCAGATGTTACTAGCAATTTGCATACTGATTTTTTTAATGTTGATTTTGACCTAACTGGGCTTCTAGCTCCTAGTCTATGATCACATTTCTCTACCTTGAGGCACCAGTCTTTAAACATTTGTTTCTCCCCTCTTCTTAAAATATTATAAGAATTGTCAGGTCTTGAATTTCCATGAGAAAAAACAGAAGAGAGACAATACTATGGTGCAAAAGCATTTACATTCTCATTAGTTTATTATATGTGATAGGTGATCTGAAAACCTGATCATTTATTAGTGCATTCCCAAATGATTGCCAAAGGTATGCAGGTAATCTGAACTTCTGGCATAGCATGAGAATGTGGAAAAGGTAAAAAATGGCAGTGAAACCTTTGCAGGTTTGAATCTTAAATGAATATTAAAAACATTTAAAAATTTAGAAATCAACAAGACATAAGTTGTCATTTTTGCTTCATGGATACCTGGGATGCAATTCTGATTTGAGTCATCTAGTAAGAGAAGGAAACAACTCAATTTCAGTGTCTCTTCTGGCACAACAATTTTTAGATTTCTTAGGGAAAATCACAGTTTTTATCTCATAATCAAATAAATTGAATTGCTGAATTGCTGGAACAGGCTTCCCAGAGAGGTTGTGGATGCCCTATCCCTGGAGGTGTTCAAGGCCAGGTTGGATGGGGCCCTGGGCAGCCTGGTCTAGTATTAGGTATGGAGGTTGGAGGCACTCCCTGAAGCTGGTGGGTTGGAATTGATGATCCTTGAGGTCCCTTCCAAGCCAAGCCATTCTATGAGTCTGTGATTCTATGAATGTGAGGTTGTTTGCTTGTTTGTATTTTTCTCTTTTTTTTACTCTTTTGGAGTTATTTCTTTGAACTTGGAATACGCACACCTTTCCATTACTTACTTCCATTACTCCATCACATCCCATTGCATTTCTCCAAACAGGAAATGAACAGACTACTCTCATTGCCTTTTCCAGCTGTATGGATTTTTTTTTTTTTTTTGGAAAAATTAAGAAGTTCAGAAAAATAGGAAAAAATATAATAAAAACACAGGACTGAGCTTTCCCTCCTCTATCACTGCTAATAATGGCCACCAATAGAAATTGAAAAACAAGTTTCAATGGCAAAATTCCATCTTTTGTTGTCTTACCAGATTCCTGGTTACAGGTGACCCTGGTTCTCCAGGAGGACCTGGTGGTCCAGGCATTGTGGCTGCTAAAACACAACAAAAATATGGCACGTGTTGAAGGTCATCTGTTTTGAGAGAGAGTGAATGACAGAAAGAAAGCACTTGGCAGTGTTGCCTTGGAGTAGTGAGAAGTTAAAATGGCCATAGTCCATACATAGCCAAGTTCTGAACAGCTATGTTCAAGTCTACTACTACTAGAAAATGCATTCTAAAGATATTTATTAAGATATTTATTTATTTCTTTAAAGTAATAGTTAAACTTAAGTCTTTTCCCTGTTCTTTGCAAAGGTTAAATTAACAGATTGGAATATGTTGTGGGCATTCTGCAAATAAAGATCAACTTAAATTGAACACTCATCTGCTTAAAGATAAGCAGCTCTTACCCATGCAGACTTTGAAAGTCATTTTATCCTTTGCTGTAAAAGTAAATAAAACCAAACTTTTTATGAGATTAAAAAAAAATCACAATTGTAAGTTCAGCTTATGTTCGAAAGCAACATAGGATTCTTTGGTGGTATGAACTTGAAGCTCTAGGAGTGCAGTCCACAGCACAAATTACCTAGCATCCCTCTCCACTCCAGTACTAAATTTTTTTCACCTTGAACTGAAAGTCAGTGCTTTCTAGAGTAAAAATTACAGGGAGGAAGCAAAGTAATATTTAAAAGACTGAAAGCAAGAATACTGTGTGAATGCATGTTATGACAATGGCACTTTGAAGCCGCTTGGAATAAAGAGCTTCCACATGCAGACCCTCGTGAGAATCATGGCAAATCCCAGAGAAGTCGGTAGTAGTATCTAGACAGATCTTACATTAACCACAAATAGAAACTCCTTATGTGGAGGAAAAGAAAGACAAAAGTGGAAGCAACAAAACAGGTCCAGGGGTATCCACGGGAGTACATTAATATACTTGTGGGAGTGAAGGTAAAAGGCTCAACAAAAAATACAATTAGAAACAGAAAGTCGTGATATGAGCTGGTATGACACAGAAGAAAGAGAATAATTGGTGGATTGCTGTCAAACGATGAGGATTGCTTTGAAAGTAATGTTCTTATTTTATATGTTGTCCCGAGACATTATAAGTGGATGCTGGTGGTAGAGGTTGAACCTTCCCACCAAAATTCCATTAAATTTGGTTGCTGTATGAAAAGTGGCAGCAAAAGGGCAGTCTGACAAAATGATGCCTGATGTAAAAGTGTGTAGGAGGCTGAAATGTGTGATTGAATTCCTCCCTGCATAAAAAAATTGCAGTCAGTGACATTCATTGACACTTGCTGAATGTTTAGACCTAAAAGTGGATGTTAGTACAGTGAGGCAGTGGGTGATGTTTCAGCAGTGGCACCAAGGACATGACAGACAGCCATGTTCCAGATGGCAATGCACAGCTGTCACTCCATAAAATGAAGTGTGTCTCAATCAGCTCATCCATGCAAATAGGTGGATTATGACCAGGAAACTTTTTGGAGCTGAATATTGGCTTCAGTGCATTAGAAATGACGTTGGCAACATTGGAATATTGCAGTTTGTACCAGATTGTCCCATGAACGTTCACATGGGGAAAGAGAGAACACCATATGCAAATCTCTCAGGACCTATTGAACCAGTTACACATTGAAGGTGACAGTTTCCTGGAATGCATTGGTTACTGGTTACTGGCAACAAGATGTGGTGTCACCACTATGAGCTGGAGTCAAAACGGCAGACCATGGAGTGGTGACATGTGAATTCTGCATGGAAAAAGAAGTTAAAGATGCAGTCCTTATCAGGTAAAGTAATGTGTAATGTCATTTGGGATAGGAAAGTGATGATTCTTCTGGATTTCCTGGAAGCCAGACAAACCATCAACTGTGACCATTGTGATTCTGACTAAGCTGAAGGCTCAAACTTCCAGAGTCAGGCCAGAGAAGAATACGACCTTTCTCTTGCAACGTGATAATGCCAGGACTCAGATGAGTTTGAAGACTGTGGAGCACTCTGCCTATCCTGTCTGGACTGTCCTATCATTCCCACCACATAGTTTGGATTTGGAGCCTTCTGACTTCCATCTGTTCAAGTTGATGAAAGATGTACTCTATGGGCAACATTTTCCTAGCAACGATGCCATCATAGTAGCTGTGAAACAGTGGTCACCTCTGCTGGTGCAGATTTTCCTGAGCATGCCATGCAGGTTTTTGTTCATCACTGGCAAAAATGTAATAATGGTGACTATGTTGAAAAATGGTGTTTTGTAGCTGAGAATTTGCTCTATCAATGAGTTATTGTTCTGTCTGTATCTGTTGTAGTTACCAAGGAAATAAATAGGCATTACTTTCAGAGTGACCTATGTATCTGAGCATGGAGAAGTTCCAGCTAGTGTTCAGTACGCTTGTGAATCTGTTTTATGAAATAAGCACAAACATCTGCAAGGTTCAGCTCTTAGCCACTTCCCAACTCCTACTATGATGGGCACTTCCAAAGTCTCCAGCTGCTCTTAGCTATTCAAATAGTTCCACAATCCCAAATATGGACAGAACTGCTCTTCAAAGCTGAAGGAGAAATGGAGGAATGTAGAAATGTTCTTTGAGCCACACTTAGGAGAAATTTGGTTGCACACATCCAGTTGTTCTCCTTGCAATGACTTAACTCTGCTTATCCACAGGTTACTGAATAATTCGGAACCAAATGGACCGAAGGAGAGTATCATGGTTTTATGATTTTTGGTTATCGGAATACCGCATCATAACATCATGTAGTGCACTGGGAGTTAAAGAGTCAACGCTCCAGTTCCAGGTGCCTGTCACAGAAGAGAAGAACAACTACATACCCCAGAGGACTTTCACTGTTCTGTTATTGTTTCCACTCAGAGGGAAAGATAAAAACTGTTCACAGACCACAAGCCCTCCCTTTTCCCTTTTTGACCATCCGGCTCGTCTCTGTTGCGGGTGCTTTATCACTTCTGCTTACTTAGAGAAAGGCCTTTGGTTTTTGGACACTCTCTCTCATTTTATTTGTTTTATTAGCTTCAATTCTAATTATATTGTATTATATTGTATTATAGTGTGTAATCTTACATTCTGTTATCTCATTTAGTAAATTAGTTTCTTTCTCCTCAGATCGTTCCCACTGTATTGTTTTTAGGCCCATCTCCCTACCCTTTCCCCTTTTCCCCTTTTTCCCTTTCCAGGGGTTTCCCCCCACACTGCTAGTCACAGAACTGGGCCAAATCAGCCCTTAAACCATTGACAGAGAGAAATGGAAGATAAGCTAAAGGAGAATAAATATTCTGCCTTCATAATTTTCGAAGGATTGGGAACAATAATCTTGAGTGAGAGTGGAGCTACGGATTCCTCCTCCCCTGCAAATACCTGCATTAAAATAAAATAAGCATATTGAACATCTGCTTTTTTGTATCTCTTCACTCTGAAGTAGTTTGATAATCTGAATAGAACAGCCCAAGATTTAAAACATTGGTTGTTCAGTCAGTAAAAGCTAGCCCTACCAACAATGCTGCATTCTAGAATTTGTTTTTTACTGAATTAGAACTTTTGAATTGGGAGGCTGCAATTCCATACCAATAAATCAAACTCTAGTGTTCAAATTTTATTTTTTGGTGAAGCTTTGAGAAACGTTGAAATTCCCTTTCACACATAGAACAATCTATGTTCTGCGGGTTCTCCAGAGCAATTCCTTCGTACCAATGGCAGGGAGAGGGGGCTCATTTCTCACAAGCATTCAAAGCTACAGATAAGAAATTCCTCATTCCCCATGTCATAGTAAGAGCTTTAAAAGTGATGAGTAGGTGCCTTAAAGATACTAAAGAAACAAACACCTGTCTTCATGACATTTAGTAAAAGTCTCCATCCATCAGTGTGCTGCCAAAAGAAGCTTCTTAAAAGGAAACAGGAAGATGCATAGAAGGATGATGGAGACTAGCAGATAAGCTAAAGTGAAAGAGATGGAATGCAAACACACATATATATATTTGTCTGACTAGCCAATATTCAGAAGTACTTGATGTAAATTACGTGAGGAAAGATCTAAAGGCCTCTGTGAACTTTATGGATGCCAAGATTATGTCCATTTTATTATCATCAGAGGCTAATACATAGGTACATGCCTATGTTCCAGTGTTGAACATAGTAAGGGTTACTTCTTCCTCACACATTCAGAGGATGAACATTTCTGGCAGACACTCCATCCATAACGTTCAGTGAATGACAGTTTGAAAGCCTCGCCTTGTCCCTGGGAGCTGCATAAACCAGTCTAATTTCTGGATTGTTCTGGAGAGAACAAACTGGGAACACAGGGATCGGCTTCCCAAACCAACATACTGGAAGTACAGATATTGCTGAAAGCAGTCTGATCATTAGGTCTCAGAAACAGGTCTTTATTAAGTAAGCCAACCCAAACGTTAGGCAAGACAAATCTGCATTATAATCTTTCTACACAGTTAACAGTGCTGTTAGTATGCTTCCTTCCTTCAGCTAATATTAGGGAATGCTTTCTGCTGGAGTTTCCTGACAGAGGAACAAGGGTCTCTCACTGATGGCTGATCCTCTGGCTTTACACTTGATGTGATGTCAGTGGAGCCAGGATCCTGTCCATCAGAACCTAGTCTAAGCACTGGACATTAACAGTATGAGGCTTGTGACTAGCAGACCTGTGACCCAAAATGAATCAGAAGTGTTACTGTCTTGAACTCTGACAGTTGATATAAAGCCATGCATACCTTTAATGCAAATATGAGGGAACCTCCAGCACCATCTCATTAACAAAGCTTACGTTATGCATTAGTGCTCCCTTAGCACTAGTCAAGGAAAACTGAGTGTAGAGTTGTTCCTTTTGTGTTTTCAGTTCAAATTCACTCTCCCTACAGAAAAAAAAGCAGCATTCAGGAAAGTGGGGAGCAACCTGATTCAAGAATGGAGAGTAGACAGGTAGATGGAAGAACACATACAAAAAGAAAAGAGTGCGTGTGGGGTATGTAAGTGTGCATATGTGCTCACATACATAATGAAAGGCAAAATCACTGCCTCTCACCTGATCCATATATTGCAGGGGGTCCTGGTGGGCCTGGTGGGCCAGGGGGTCCAATTCTTCCATAACCTGGTAAACCAGGTAAGCCAGGCAACCCTGGAGGTCCTCTGGGTCCAACAACTGAATCCCCTTTAGGTCCCTATTAATGATAAAAAGTATTTGTTTGAGTGTATCAATGTCTGTTATGGTATGCTCCACACCTCTGTCCCTGAGCTTCCTCCTTCATCCTGGTCATTATGCCCAAGGCCTTGCTCATGCAGTGAGGTGCAAAAGCCCCTGACCTTAGGACTGATAACAATCAAGGTATCACTGGAGACTGCAATACTGTCTCAAACTGGGTGCTCAAAGAAATGAGAGCAGAGCCCTGATTCAACAGATGCCAAATCTATGGCTATGAAGCAATCATCTTACTTCATAAGCAAGGAGACCAAGAGCCCCTTTAAGCTCTCCTAGCTCTTCAGCTAGCTGCACATCAGGATGTCCTCTTGAGCGGGAATGCTTCTCAAGGTTGTTTATGCTTGCGCAGAGGTCCCTTACGCCTAGACATGGTGATGTCTTTCTGACACAGATCCTCAGTTCGTAGTTTTAAGCTGCAGTACTTTCACTGAGATTCAATTTTAGATCAATTGTGCAACCCCAACCTCTACGTAGCAAATTGTCAGCAGCCATTTTAAACCTTGTTGAAATCACTGCCTTCATTGTTTAAATTACTACATCTGTTTTATATCAATAAGTATCTTCCTGCTTCTCTTGTGATTGAAATGTATACCACTGTAGTTTCCATCTGTGATGATATCAGTGTTGCAGGTCCTTCACCTCTGATGGCAATATTTTCTGATGGCAGGTAACCACACCACTTTTTCTAAGTTGTAAGCATTTTTTTTTTCCAAAGAGCCATGGAAACTGAAAAATGTACTCATATATTAAACTAGATTCAAGACATGAAATTTCAGACTAGATAGATTTCTGATAGTTCTTGCATGGTTGTATCTATTTCCTTGGCTTGTATTGCTATCAATAGCATGAATCTATATACTGATACAGTTGTGTTAGCAGCTGAGCATAGCATATATTTCTCAAAGCAAATTAATTCAATTCACAATAGTGAAGTTTCTATGTTTATGCCTAATGGAACTCTGCCTTATTGAGCTAATGGTTAGCATATAAGTATGCATATAATTCTTAATACCATCTTGATGCTTGTCTCTATTAGTGCCCTCTAAATTAAAACAAGTTGTATTCACAAATATTTATATTATACAACTTGTGTATCTTACAACTAATCCTGGTCTTCCAGGTGGTCCAGGTGGTCCTGTCAGGTAAAAACCTCCATTTGGTTCTCCTTTTTCTCCTTTTTCACCATTGTCTCCTTTTTCGCCCTTTAAAGATAACATAGAATAAAACATTCAGCTGAAGCAAGATCAGAATCCCATGCACTAATCTTTTAAAGTTATCTAAGCTATCTGAAATTTCTAAGCTTAATAAAGAAGAGCATCTGCTTAACATCTTTTTGACACCACTTCCTTCTTCCATGATATGGAATAAAAAGGTACACTCCCTCTATTGAAGCTGCAGGAATTTCTTAGTGTATAGACTAGGGGAGGTGGGACCTAGGTGGAAACAGAGGAAAGTGCCTCTGTTGCTGTTTCCTGCTATTTTACCTAGCAAAACCTTGTTCCGTGCTGTAGCTGGAGGCAAAAATAAAAAAAGAAAAGAAAAGAAAAAGGAAATTGGAAAAAACATAAAAGCCATGTTTGTTGTTTTTCTCCCCCGCTGAGGAAAAAGCAATTTAAGATTGATATGAAATTCTCAATTTAAAGGAATCCTATAAAGTGATAATGACAGTGCATAGGATAACACAAAAGGACAGGGGAATACACCAAGATAATGGAAGAGACACCACAGAAAACTGCAGACACTTTGAACTGTGTCTCTTCTATTGTCCTACTTCATTAAAAGCTTAATTAACAGCTAACTGGAGAACAGTGACAGATAAAAAGTATTTAAATTCTAGATTTGTGCAAAACAAGCCACAGCAATTGTAGGTTCTGCTGCACATTATTTCCTTTTCTTTGTCTGCCCTTTTTTTGTTTCCTTTCAATTTTTTGGTGTCTACTTTTGTTCACCTTTCTGGGAAACAAACCTGTGGATAGAAGCAGTGAAGGTCAGAGCAAGCAAGTAGCTGGAGAAAGCCAATAGAGATGTCCGTACGTAGCTCCCCCTCTGACTTCTTTTTCAGTTTCCCAGTAAGCAAAACTACAAAGGTTTCTTTGTGGCATGGAATTTTGTAGAGTTAAGAATGATACGAAACTATGTCTGTAGCTTTACAGCTTTAGCTACTACTTTATTACATCAATTAATCCATGCATACATGGGACCTTCTATGTCATAGAAATGTCTTCTGTGCACTCGGCCAAGTAGAAACAAAATCTGAATACAAGGTGGCACTAGGAGTCTTTCAAGGAAATTGACAGTACAGTTATGAATAATAGCTTTTTTTTTTTTTCCTAACTAAATGATAACTTGATTCTACTTTTTTTGTATCTTTTACTGATAAATAGCAGCCTTGTTCACTTAAAACTGTGTTGTATATGTATTCATTTTTTGTCATCAACACAGTTATGTGAAAAGAGGATCAACGAGACACTAAATGCATCTTGTATGAATATGATTTCTTGTAGGAGATTTCAGGAGATAAGCATCAAGAAGCAGAAATGTGTTTTCCATCACTCTAAATTATTTTATTCAGTGTGCTGGAAAGAAAAATAGTATTAAACAGAACTGAATTTCTTTTTGAATGTTGACAGTTGCTACCTTTGTTTAAAGAAGCCCATTAGAAAATGTATGTCTCTTACATGAATTGTCACGAAAACAAAAGCATTATTTATGGCAAATAACTGGTACCAATCTTTGTTAGATAACAGTGAATTGTGGCTCACTTTAATACCTCTGGGAAGGCAAAAAGCCTCATTAATATATTTTTTAAGAAGTTATTTTTATATATTACTGACAACTACTGTTTCTATCTTCATAATAAACTTGTCTCTGCAGCTGGAGTTTAATAAATTAACATAATTTATGAT